ACTTGTCACAAGTAGGGAAGTATTTTTTGGGACCGCTTTACTTGGCAGAGAGCTAAAAGAAGCAGAGCAGAAAGAGAAGAGTGCATGGCTTTTAGCTCCATCGGCAGCTACGTAAGGAGTATCTGTTTGAATGCCTGGAAAAGAGTCTCGCCAAATTCCCTGCCCAATAATAATTTAATTTGTTTCTAACATTACACTACCATACTAAACAACATTTGAGTGTGTTGAAAGTTATAAATAATGTTATTCTATGTGTTAGTTTGTTTGCTATATGAGACTAGCAGTAAGCTAGATTAACATTAGAATAACATACTGATCATATTCTAACATTTCATCATGTTGAGCTATATAAAATTGATTTGTTTTATGTACATTTGCTCACCTGTCGAATAAAGTAACGTTACATGCAAGAGCGTCCCTGTCAAGTCGTGACTCGTGAAGCTCTGTCAAGTCCAAGTTAGTCACGGACATGAAGCTCTCGGCATCTCGAAAACGCCACACTGATATTGATCCTAGTTTTAGTTCTCCTTTTGTCACAAAGTCTGCTTGCATTTGAACGAAACAACAACAACACTATGCAGTTGTCCATGTCTGTTGCCATGGTTACTATGGCAGTACAAGCGGTAGGGATAATGCGGATATTACGTCATTGACAGGCGACAAGTTTAAAATTGTGTATTTCTCTGAATTTACAAATTCTTGGAAACATTTAGGATAATGGAAGTACACAATTGAAAGAAATATATAACACTGTGCAAGTGTTTTTTGGATATTTTGATACAAAATCCTTACATATTGTACCAACCATTTAAAGGTGCTCTATGTAACTTTTAGCGGCCTCTAGTGGTGATGTTTCAGATTGCAACCAAATTTTACAAGAGCGCTCGTGCTCGAACTCATAGACAATACCGTCTATTACGCAAATATCTCGGCGAATACTAGACGGATTCTGTGAGCACCGAGCTCGTTGGGACCATCTAGTCGAGCTGAAAAGAACCATATAAGTTCCATAGTTTTTGGTGGTGTTTTCGCGGAGATATTAGCAGAAAACCATCGGGCGCGCTGCAAAATTGCGGACGCCGGTGACGTCACGATCTCAGAAGAAAATCGCTCGTATCTCTGGAACGCAAAGACCCAGAGAGCTCAAAATCGGGGGAGGAGGTCCCAGGGGAACCCTTGCCCGAACGCTAGAGTGGCGGGCCTCGGGGATGCCCCCTACCGGATCGCCGTTCGCTGGGACCCCCGATTTCGAACGGCTATAACTCAGGGAGCCGGGCGAGTTGGACCTCGGGGGTGGGCTCGTTCGAAAGGCCCCGTCCAGCATCGTAGTGAACGATTAGAGTCTTGGGAATATTGATCAAAGATTGACTGAGATATAAGCCGAAAAACGTGCGCCTTTAACCGGACGTAACTCCCTGACCGTCTACAATAGACTGTATATAAGGAGAGAGGCTCGGGAGCGCGCATGCACGTCACATCCGTTGGATTTCGCGGTAAATCCGACCCGGAGACTTCACATAGAAATAGGAATACTGGCCTTCAGAGGTAATAGCAAAACTCGACAAGTGGATCATTTTAATGTGTGATTACAACCCCTTCACACACAGGCAATAAAAAAAGGATTCATTTTAGTAGAAAAGTTACATAGAGCACCTTTAACTGATTTGAATAATAGAAATTGATAATGTTCTATGTGTATGCCAGGTTAACGAGATGTGTTAAGTCTAGATTTAAACTGACAGCCAAGGTCTGACAGTGTGTCTGCTTCTCGAACAATGCTAGGAAGACTACTCCAAAGTTTAGGTGCTAAATAGGAAAAGGATCTACCGACTGCAGTTTATTTTGATTCTCTAGGTATTATCAACTGACCAGAATTTTGAGATCGCAATAGACGTGAAGGACTATAATGCGTTAAGAGCTCGCTCAAGTACTGCGGAGCTAAACCATTTAGTTCTTTGTAAGTAATCAGCAATATTTAAAAATTTATACAATGTTTAATAGCGAGCCAATGCAATGTTGCCAGAATGGGGCTAATATGGTCATACTTCCTGGTTCTAGGTAGAACTCGAGCTGTTGCGGTTTGGACCTGCTGGAGTTTGTTTATTGTTTACCTGTAAATTGTTAAGTGTGTTAAAAAGGCACCCGGAGGGCCACACTTGTAGTGATGGTTATTTTTTTAATTTGTGTCAGGAGTTGTGAAAATGAAAAACGTCAAATATCTTTAATATGAGATACGAGCATCATCCATATCCATTGAGAAAAAACTCCTGTATTTTTTTTTGTTCCTTGTGCCCACCAAAGTGTTTTTAGGCAGCTGAAAATGCCAGCGCTGCATTTTACCCAAAGTTGAACATTCTTCAACTATTGGTGACCAGTAAAAATGCAGTGTTCAGCAATCAGCGTGAAATAGATGCTCAGCACCTCGTCGCGCTGGTTTTGAAAACCGCGGCGCTTTCATTGAAAACAATTGGAAAAAATTTGCTGTCTCTGGTAAAAACGATTAGGTGGACACATGGCCATAGTTCAAAAGTGTGCACATTTGCAGAAATATTGAAGGATTCTCATGTTTACTTCAAATTTCTATAGAGAGGAGTAATATTTTTTTCCATTTTTACCCAAAATGATACGATATGAGCATTATGGAGTGCTGAATACTCTTTTGTAATATATGTTTCATTCATCATGGAAGCTGGAGAGTGCCCTCCTGCAGAAAGTCCACAAATGAGACTCATAAGTTCATAGATCTTATGACGTTCCCCTATGTGGACAAAGGCATCCAGAGATCGCTGCACCTGAATAACACGCAGATAGAGACATTTTGGTTGATGAGACATATTGCGACGATATATGCTTTGTCTGTGTTCTTAATGTCATCTCGAGTATTTTCACAAGAATAAGTTATAGTGCAATGATATTTGACATAGTCTTTATCATGAATGAATGAATGAATGAATGAGGCAATTATATTGCACTTTACTATGTACTACTGTACACCAAAAGCGCTTTTGCTACAATTATATCAGGGGGTCTCTCCTCAACCACCTTTAGTGTGCAGCATCTACTTGGATGATGCGACAACAGCCACAGAACAACGGCGCCAATGCACTCACCACACACCAGCTATAGGTGGAGGAGAGAGTGGTAGTAAAGAATGCTATAAAATAATATATCTTATAACTCATTTAGTGATAAGAAGCCACATAGGATCACAGAAGTTTATTTCAAACACTCGACTGATGTTATAAAGTGAGTTTGGAGGAAAACATGGTTATAATCTCATAAATTGTCGTGTTTTGATGCTGTGCTAAGCTAACATGCTAGTTAGCCCTTATGCACATGTTACCAGGAGTGAGCGATTATGTTTTTGAGCTATTTTGAAAAGTTAAGGTCATTGGAATGTTTCTTTTTTAAAAGAAGGGCATTTGATACCAAATCAAAGAAGGTGAAGTGACAGGTTTGATCAAAGAAATGAGGGATTAAACGGTGTGAATGGAAAGGCATCAGACAAAAAAAAAAAAATAGAGCCACTTCTTGGCCTGAGAGGTGTGTATGTGTGCAATTTCATAATGCACCATACTTGTCACCATTCTGCTCAGTTTATTTTCGTTTTCAAGGACTTTCAGTTTGTTTTCATTTGTCAAGTCAAGTCAAGTCATCTTCATTTATATAGCGCTTTTAACAATGTAGTCCAAAGTGGCTTTACAGTGGTATTATAGGTAAATAATACATTAAAGTAACAGATTTGTCACGTCTTCTTTGTTCAGATTCCGTCACTCATCTGTCTCCTTAGTTACCGTCATTATTAGTTCATATGTGTCAGCTGTGTCTAGTTTATCACCTTGTTATCTTTAGTATTAGTTTCGTTGTATCCTGAGTTCCTGATCCGGTCACCATTATAATCAATGTGTGTGTATCCCTGTTGCCTGTTCGGAACGCTACCTGTTGGAATTATATGAGAAGTAAACTTTGTGTTGGAACCTTCTTCTGTGTCTTCGTCTGCCTGCCTGCACACACTGGTAACAACACTATGGTGTGGACAATAAGTAGGCATTTATACAAGTAAACAAAATAATCCATAAAAGTATAAAAGTGTGCACATTGAGAGAAATAAACAGATGCTGGCTAATTCAAACACATTCACATTAATGATTTTCTCTAACTTCAACTTAAGAAAATGCTGTTGATAATTTTTTTTTTAACAAAACAAAACCATGCACAAAACAAAACCATTTTTAACAAAACAAAATTTAATGCTAGTAAATAAAAGGAAACGGTCCATCTGCATGCCTCTGACCAGCCATGGTGCCCGTTGTACACTCCCCAGTCCCTTGACTCCATTCGCATGTCAATAATGCCATAAAGTGAAACGCAAAAGGAAAATGGTATAGCCAGATCAGACTTGACAGAAATGCAGATTAAGAGGAGCGTAGCAAATGAATTTATAGGTGGGGCCATGGAAAAGATGTGGTGCAGAATCATTTTATTTATATTTTGTTTCTTTATTTTTGTTTGCAAAACTTTTTTCTCTCTCAATACTTAATTTTTCTTTTGCGATTATTTTTCTTTGCAAAAATGTTTTAACTCAATAATTAATTTTTCTTTTGCAAAACTATTTTCTTTTGCAATACTTTAATGTTTTGAAAATAGATGTGGCATTGAATTGACTCCATACTGCTGCACATAAGATACTCCATTTGCCTTTTGCGGAACCAAACCCGTGACAAACTGCACCAAATTGCATATTTTTGCTTAGTTTGGGTCTCTGAATAAAATTCTGAGTGTTTTTTCCTCCTCGAGTATTGAGCTCCATATTATTCATATCATATGGGCCATAAAAGCCTGATGTATCCAAATATGATACTTAAACAAATGCAACTTTTTAAATATTTATTTTTTTATATTTTGTGCAAAGGTTCAATGAACTGTTTTATTTTTTTATCTATTTTTTTTTTAACCTATTTCATATGCCAGGCCTTTACAGGGTGTGATAAAAACCATACCTTGTCGAGTTTTGACTCCAGTTCTCCATAGTCTCCCTCCACTTCCTCTATTGTGGCCCTGCAAAACATCATACCAAAAATTACTTGATAGTCAAGGTAAACATCTAACAATTTGCATGCAAATTTTAATTATTTAAAGGAAAAACGTCAGTGAATTTAGAGCCTCCAATTGTTTGCCTTCCCCTTTTCCATCCATTTGAGCAGTGGTTTTCAGTCCCAGTCCTGGGGACCCACCGCTCTCTCTTATCTGAGACACTCAGTTCAGTTCATGGAGCTCTCTGATGATCTAAATCTGGAGCCGTATTCACAAAACATTTGATCTTACCACTTCTCCTAAATAAAAACCTATTTAAAACCTATTCACAAAGCTACTGAGAGTCTTTTTTAGTTTAGAGCTTTATTAATCCCCGTTGGGCAATTAGTTTGAGCTTACATGGTGCCTCACATAAAACACTTAGCACATACATTCAAATACATAAATAATAAAAAAAAAAAAAATAATAAAAAAAATCACCTAAGTTTTTTACATAGCCGTATTGCTTCAGGCACAAAAGTAAATTTATAGCGATTTGTAGAACATTTAATTGCCCTTAGACGTCGTCCCAGGGGCATCCACTCAAAGTCCAAATGCAGCGGGTGTGTACTATCTCCTATTATTTTATGAGTCATCCTCAGCACCTGCTGTTCGTAATAAGATGCAAGTCTTCGTAAGGGAACACCCATAATTTTAGAGCACATGTTAACAATACCCTGCAACCGATTTTTGTTATTTGTAGACAATGATGAAAACCAACAAATAAAATAAAAAGACAGGATACTTTCAACAAATGAATTATAAAATGACTTAAGAACAACTCTCAGTATATTAAAAGAATTAAGCTTTCTCAGCACGAACAATCTTTGGTGTGACTTTTTGACAACTGCATCAGAATTTTGGTCAAACTTTAACTTATCAAAAACCGTTCCCAGGTACTTATATTACTCTACTTCCTCCACATGTGTGCCATTAATGACAATAGGTTGAAGTGCCAATGTTCTCCTACTAAAATTAATTATCATCTCTTTAGTTTTTGAGACATTCAGATCTAGTTTCATACTACTACACCAAGAAATGAAATTGTACAAAACAGAACCATATTCCTGATCTGAATGTGAAAGCAAGGAAAGCAACACAGTATCATCCGCATATTAAACCAAATAACTATTATCTTGTAAACTCTGACAGTCATTCGTGTATAAACAAGATAGGAGAGAGCACACATCATTGAGGGGTACATGTGGAGATATTTACAATGTCTGATAACACCTCATTAATCCTAACCCTCTGTTGCCTGTCTGTTAAGAAATTCAATAAGCTAAGAGAAAGGGCGGGGTTTACCTAGTTGCTATGGATGATGTCAACATGCTTACTAACCATGCACACAGGGATTGGCTGATGGGGGAGGGGTCTCTGGAAGTGATTTAATCATAGAAATATTGTAGAACGAGGTAGCATGTTGCCATATTCAAATATTCAAGTTTTTAAAATAAAAATGTTGCTATATTTAAATAAAGACTTTAAAATGTACTCTCAGTCTCACTAATTAAACAAGTATATGTTCCGCTAATTGTCAGCCTCTTACATGAATTCAAGCGACAAATGATCTTTTGGGAGGAGCACGTTCAAATGGTCTATTTAATCTTAGACAAATGGTCTATTTAATCCTGGTACAAGAGTACTACCCAAACTCACTTTGAGGTCTTTAGAATCGCACGGAAAGACAGCACTTACCGTTATAAAAAGGCTCTAAAAGCAGTGGCTAGATTAACAAATAAACAGACATCACCTGAACAAAATATTCCATTACAGTTTAGTCCTACTGACTTTATAAATTTCTTCACTGAGAAAATCGAAAGGATTAGAAATACTGTAGAATGTACAACCTTGGACAGCGTCTTATAAGTCAGCCTCAATTATCGCCCCTCAAGAACAATTGCAGTGCTTTACAACTTATAGGACAGGAAGATCTAAATAAACTTATCATTGCATCTAAACCAACATGTATATTAGATCCAATAGTATACCCACTAAACTACCGAAATAATTGTCATCTGTAGCAGAAGAACCTCTTCTCAATATTATTAACTTTTTATTATCTCTAGGTCATGTTCCAAGACCGTTCAAGCTGGCAGTTATTAAGCCTCTCATTAAGAAACCACAATTAGATCAAAATGAATTAGCAAACTAGATACCAATTTCAAATCTTCCATTTATGTCTAAAATATTAGAAAAAGTTGTCCGCTCAATTGTGCTCTTTCTTTGCAAGAAAATTGTATCTATCGCTCGTTACTAGTTTTACTTGATCTTAGTGCTGTGTTTTATACACTGGTATTCAGGGAAAGGCATTAAGCTGGTTTAGAAGCTGGTTTAGAATTTTGTCTATTTAAACGGGGACAAATCTAAGAGAACGTTAGTAAATTATGGAGTGCTGCAAGGATCTGTGTTAGGCCCTCTGCTAATTTCCATATATATGCTGCCACTTGGTAATATTAATAAAAAAAAAACATGGAATTGGTTTCCTTTGTTATACTGATGAAACTCAGTTATATATTTCATCACAACCAGATGAAATCTCTAAATTATCCAAGTTGACAGAGTGTGTTAAAGATATAAAATATTGGATGACCTGTAATTTTCTTCTATTAAATTCAGATCAGACTGAGGTATTGGACCAAAAACCTGTACACAAAATCTCTTAGAATACAATTTGCATCTAGAAGGATGTACTGTTATTTCATCCTCTACAGTTAAAGATCTGGGTGTTATTTTAGACAGTAACTTGTTATTCGAAAATCATATTTCATGTTTAAAGCTGCAGTCCGGCGTTTTTCCTCTTTGTCGCCATCTCTGTTCGAAATCTGCAATTGCAGTCATTCGCGGACTTATCAACTTTATGTGAGTTGTACTTCAACACCCTCGACACGGCACCGCGCGGATGAACACAATGTTTGAGGAGAGTGTGCTGTGCAGCTGTCAGTCACCGCGCCTGTGTTGATACTGTCATTCAAAATCACAGATTATTCTTTTTGGAAGTATGACCAACATGAGAATTTTCACCGGAAAATGTCATCTGAACAAGTAAGAAACATCCACTTTTGTTCTGTTTCTGACATTGCAGTAAATCTAACAATTGCTTATAAGTTATCATATCACGCAAAACCGTGCAAATTATACTTTGTTCTCAAATTGTTAATGTTAACAACGTCAGTATTGCGTGACTACATGTAATGTCCTTCCGATATTATCCTTGTTTTCGCATGGGTCCGGTTGCAGTCTCTTTTTTTCTGTAGCCACTCAGAAGTCCGAACGAAGTCTTTTGCATTTTACAGCGGGTGAATCTCTGGTTGTCACTGATGATCGTCGTTTGAATATTTCTGGATCCGCCATCGAATTGATAAGTTTAATTATATCAAGTGCTGTTAGAAAAGGCTATAAATCTCCACCTCCAACATCCTCACACGCAATATAGCCTACTAGCCGAGACTCCTTCTTTATGTGTACAGATGTGACGTAATGACGCAAAGACATGCTCGAATCTCCCGCGGAAATCCACCAGTACCACTGGAAGTAAAAACATTATTACAAGCTTACCGATTTGAATCGAGCTAAGGCAAGCAGATAGTTTTGAACACTGGCTGGTTACGTATTTTATCAAATATGTATTTTGGATCATTTTTAACCTAAAAAAAGCTACGGACTGCAGCTTTAATAAAAAAAGCCTTCTTCCACCTCAGAAACCTCGCTAAGCTATGGAACATGCTATCTGTTTCTGATGCAGAAAAGTTAGTTCATGCATTCATGACCTCTAGACTAGATTACTGTAAAACATTACTAGCTGGTTGTCCTGCATCCTCGATAAACAAACTACAATTAGTCCAAAACTCGAACTCGGGTCACTCGAGCGGCCCACAAGGCTATCAGAGCAGATGATGGGACATTATATTCAACTTGACCGCAATGTTTTATAATCTCCATCATTCAATGCATTTTGCTTGTATATAAATTAATACTCATTGCAGATTAAAATCTATAAATCAAAATATTTATTGCATTTATGAGGAAAAGGCTCAGCACCCAAGGCTCTATCATCTATTGCCTCAATGGTGTACAGTGTCTTTGGGCAGATTGCTGAGGCGGATTGCCAGCAACTAGCCTGGCAAGCCAGACCTACATCAAGATGTTAGGTCTGGGAACTCACAATTGGCATACCTCAATCCAAGGGGCGGGATAAACGGTTGTCTTTCAATATCCCTCGGCACGCAATAGGATAGCGCTACATCCAACCAGAGCAACGAACGGCTGTGGCTGAGTGAATCCCATGCGTTTTTATTTCACCAGTGAACCAGCTAGTTGGTATATTAAACTTTTGCCGTATCCGGTCGTCAAAACTCTGAACACATCTTCCTGTTTTAGGAATGACTTAAGTGACGTCCTCTTAACTCTAAGTCATCCAGAGTCGCGGCCAAAGCTGATTCGAAAGACCGCTGTTCGCCAGCAGCATCTTGTTTGTTTTCAAGCAGAGGGAAATCACCAGGGCCGAATTAAGAATTCAGAGGGCCCTGGGCACAATGTCTTGTAGGCCCCCCCTTAGGCAGGCCAAATGTAGTTTGTCCAAGGATCATCTTGCCTAAGGCTCTATCATCTATTGCCTCAATGGTGTACAGTGTCTTTGGGCAGATTGCTGAGGCGGATTGCCAGCAACTAGCCTGGCAAGCCAGACCTACATCAAGATGTTAGGTCTGGGAACTCACAATTGGCATACCTCAATCCAAGGGGCGGGATAAACGGTTGTCTTTCAATATCCCTCGGCACGCAATAGGATAGCGCTACATCCAACCAGAGCAACGAACGGCTGTGGCTGAGTGGCTCACGCAGCACAAACAGAATGCCTAGGCTACTTAAAGTCTTTTGCTGTTTTATAACGGCACGAACTAAGCAATATCACAGTTTCAATTTGACTTCGTTGGCAAAATATAACGCTAAACAGTCGAGACCTTTATGTTAGGCAACCGTAGGCAACTGCTTCTCCATCACTTCAAATTTCAGAGCGTCAAGTCACGCGACGCGAGTCGACATGATAGCTCGCTCTCGCTCACTGCGCAGGAATACAGACGCTGTTTTTGACGCGATTTAACATTATATTTTGATCGAATGGGTTGCAAAAATATGCATATAATTAGGAAAGTGAGGACTGCGTTTATTACGTGATCTAACATAATATTTGACGGTGCGCAGGGCCCCTTAGATGTCATGTGCCCCTGGGCAAGTGACCAGTTGCCCTAATGGTTAATCCGGCCCTGGAAATCACCTATGGAAATCATGCGGAACCGTCACAACTCTGTCGTCATTATGTTAAGCCTGCCCGCCGACTCTATACACGATGTGATTGGCCGGACCAGTTTTTGGTTTTTCTAGCTCAAAAGTCTATGGAGAGTTGCTAGACCACACTTTGCTGCAAAATAATTTTTGCTGCCGCTAGGGTGCGCTCTAGATTTCTAGGCTAGCCAGCAACAGCATTTTAGGATTGTTTGTGATTTGGTCTTAGTGACTTACAAGTCCTCTTGACTACCCCTAACTTTTCACTGATTTAGGAGCTGGTTTTAGTGCTAAAATGTTTTGTGAAATACTCTTAGAGCAAAAATGTAGGAGTCCTAAAATTAGGACTGACACGCCCATTATTTTTAAGAGTTTCTCCTAAATCTGCAAGTTAGGAGCTACTTTTAGCCTTAAGATGTTTTGTAAATACGGCCCCAGGTGTGTTAAATAAGGGAGACATACAAAATGTGCAGAGCAGTGGGTCCCCAGGACCAGGATTGAAAACCACTCCATTTGAGCCTTTTACTGGAGTGGTTCCCAACCCTGGTCCTGGAGTACTCCCAGCACTGCACTTGATGTCTTTAAGATGTCCTTCCAGTGATCCATGATTTGAATACTGATAAGGGGATATTGATCACTTCTCAAATGTATTAGGTGAGGTGTACAGTGTACAGTGAATCAGAAATTGAGTCTTGATCTAGGTCTTGGGACCACTGGAACATTGTTTCCAGGGATTTGAGCTTTGCATGTTATTTGCATGTTAATGTACAGTGTGTACTTTTATTACTTGCAAAGTCCATGTTATGCAACGCTAAAATTAATAGTTTTTTATAATCTTATTTATCTTATTCTTATTTATAAATAATTGTTTTAAAATCCACAGAATACATTGCACAGATAGATTTTTTTTTAGTATAGGTCTAAAAAAAAGTCTTTGTTAGACTACTATATTGCTGATGTAACATCAGAAGAAGTCTATAAGATTGTAAATATGTTCAATAAGTAAAATATGGACTACTTTCTGGCTATTGTTACATCAGAAGGAGTCTATGATCATGTGTAGACAGTTCAAGATCGATGAATCTTTGGACAGAAATATGTTCAATTGGTCAAATATGAACTACTGTATGGTCGATGTAACATCAGAAGGAGTCTATGAGTATGTATAGAAAAAAGTTCAAGAACTCTTTGGCCAGAAATATGTTCATTGGGTCAAATTTGGACTAATATATGGTTGATGTCACATCAAAATAAGTCTATGAGAATGCATAGTAAGCAGCTAATGAAAATTAACCAAGAACACATTTTAGAATATTTCAGTAAAAATAAAATATCTAACATGATTAACACAGTTTATTCAACATTATCAGTGATTTGAAAATATGTATTGATAGTCCAGTAATGAACTGAATGTCTCCATTTCCACACTGTAAGTTACTGCACATGAAGAACACTTGGGATAACTTTGGCAAAATATGCTGTTGATCTGGCAATTTGCACATTGCAACAAGGGTGCACTTTATTTTACAGTAGTGTACTTACAGTGTACTTACCTAAGAAAGGTTAATATACATAACTACATGGGTTAAGAGGAGGTTCAGGGTTAGTACATAGGCTATAGTTATTGTAATAACTGTAATAAGTACATATAATGAACATTGGCAACAGAACTGTAAAATTAAGTGCTGCATTAAATTTTAATTGAATGCACATTTACTGCATTTTCAAACAGTATTTATCAACAGTATTTATCTGTAGGGAAGAGAACTGGGCCTTGTACTGATCTTGTTGCTGGTAAAAGATCCACGTGTTGGGAATGCACAGAAATAACATCACACAACCACAATATTCAGATTCATAAACGTGTTATTAATGTCACGACTATTTTTAGAATTGTAAACCGATGTGTAGCCTATATCATAGCATTCCGTATCAAACACGCAAGGTTAAACACGCCAGAATGTCATTTATATACAAATGGCAGAATGTAACACAATTACATAAAGCATAGAGAGCCGCCACAATTAGCCTAGTCCCCCATGCCCCCCGCCCCCTATAGAAACAGAAAAAAAAAACATTTCCCCTATTTGTTTATCTTTTCGCATGTCTTCATTGATAATGCGGCAGGTGAGGTGAGACTCTTCAGCTGTCTCGAAAGCTGGTGAGCTGACTACCTAGTCAGCATGGGCACATGCTCATAATCATATGATGACCAGCAGAACTGTCTAGGTAGGCAGCTCACTAGCTTTTGAGACGCAGCCCGTTGCATCCATAAGGAGAGAGTGATACAGAGCTTTTGTGCATCATTTACGTGTGTATGGATTGATATCCGCATCAGACTCACCGGAAACGTGGCGAATCTTTCAGGCATTCCTCAAAATCCACCGTCACTTTCATTTTGATGAAATAATGATAGACTATTATTAATCGCACTGATATGTCTGGAGGTGATCCCAAGAGCGCACGGATAATACAAACAATATAATGATTTACAATACTTTTGCGTTTAACGCACGAAATGAAACTCATTTACAGTGCACACGGTGGCATTTATTGCTGATATGGTCATGGTATTTATTTGTGTATGTATCCTATGATAAAGCATCCGACATAGGCTACAGTTGCGGTGCGCCCCATCCGACTAGCGGAGATACCAGTCTTACTACAGTGAAGGCTTCTCTCTCCCCAATACAATCCCATAGGCTACATGTTAATTAGGCAAGTGACGTTAGCCTATGGCAAGCCGTTTTAGCATTAAATGCCCCTGACTCTACTAATCGTAATTTAGTTTGACTAGTCAAAATTCCAATTCCAGATATCTATTCTGCATTTTAAATCGTCGTAATTGGATTTAAGATACAAAGTTATTATTGCCAAGTCAACTCTAAAGACCTATAGTGCTTTTTACAATACAGATTGTTTCAAAGCAGCTTTAAAGTGATTAAAGGAAAATAATGCAATAAAGATTGTTTCGGCTGTACAGCAGATCTAGGAAAATAGTGTTTAAGAAGAAAGTGTCTAGAAGTGTCTAGTGTCTAGAAGAAAATCACTGTTAAGTAAGTTCAGTGTTGATTCATTTTGGTTGTAAAAATCCTTAGTTATTAATTTAGTTAATTTATCTATAGCCTACAGCAGCTCTGGAGAAAACAGTGATATCATTGTCCAGTTCAGTTCTCACAATGGTGTCAACTTATTAAAACATAGACCAATTTGGAGTCGACGACACGGTTACGTCACTGCAGTTGTGCACGCATTGTGGTGGCAGATAAACAGCGTATTCACATATGCAATTCATACCTTTAGGCCCAGTTAGCCTACAGCATGAAATAATATTTAGCCTAGGCCTATAACTAGAAAACATTTACATACATCTAGGTATAGCAGCAGTAGTGTTTTACATTGTCATTGTTCACATTAAACAATGAAAAGCAGTTAATTCTAACTCAGCCATGCAAGTGAAGTACGCCATCAGTATATAGTTGCAATATCCCACATCTTGTATATCTGTGTTTTGTCCAGCTGGCTATGCAGCACGTCGGTCCATACACAAAAATCATTCGACAAATCTCGATATTCAATGTCCTGGACATGACAGCAAAGGGGACATTCTAAAATGCGTAACATGGCTTACTGTTCTAAGAAGACAGTGGTATTAAAAGAACAAACTCAGTAAACACCATACTAATAAAGCATACTATGCACAGCAAAGCAGATGAGCCCAGAATATGAACGCAATGCGCTTAATTACAGGTTAAGCATTTTCCTACAATAGAAACCACTGTTAAAAAGAAAACACTGGCTTAATGTATAATACAGTGATATTAAAAAGCTGATGAGCCCAGAATATGACAAAATAATAATAATAATATGTTTATGTTGCCTTTGGCTTGCTCAGTTGGGGATATTCAAATTAAATGACCCATCATACCACTGATCAGCTCTACCAAACTTGGATGTCTTTTTCCAGTAATAAACAAACACTGTTAAGTTGTTTTGATTGATACTGTGAAGCAGCTTTGATACAATCTGTATTGTGAAAGCGAGCGTGAGCATGTGCCCCGTGAAGTTCTCCACAGAGGTCGACCTGAATATGTTCCCAGGGTGAAGACGGCCAAGGGGTCGGGGTGAGAGGGGCTGTGGCAGGCTGACCAGTTTTCCCACTCAGGAGGCAGCAGGCGCAGTTACGTACCAGATCCTCAAAATCAGAGTCTATGTGGGGCCACCACACTGTGTCACGGCAGCGCTACTTCACCTTGACCACCCCCAGGTGCCCCTCATGCGCCATGTTTAGTACTCTGGACCTGAGAATCTCCGGAACGACCGCACGGTGGCCACGGGCCAGACACACTGCCCCCCAGCAGGAGAGCTCGTTGTGGAAGCGGTAATAGGGAAGCAACCTGTCATCCACTTTGGCCGGCCAGCCGTCCTGGACGTAGTTACGGAGAGTTGTGAGGGCCTCGTCTGTAGCTGAGGCCTGCTGCAGCTCCGCCAGAGTGACTACTGAACTGAGGGGGCCATGCAGGATGTGGACCCAGTCTTCGTCGCTCTCTGTGTCTGGTGTCACCTCGCCCGTCTCCTTCGTCACAGACACAGCTCTAGACAGGAGTTCGGCAACCGCGTTGGCCCGCCCAGGCATAAACTCCAGACTGAAGTTATACTGGTTCAGCCTGTCAGCCCACCACAGCAGTCTCATGGGCCTGTGCCCCGAGCCTTTAGTTGCCAGCAGTGCCGTCAGCGCTTGGTGGTCTGTGCGGATGGTGAAAGGCCTCCCGTATAGGTAAACATGCCAGCGTTCGCACGCCCACAGGCAGGCCAGGGCTTCCCTCTCCCCCACCAAATACTTCTGTTCTGCTGGAGTAAGTGCCCGTGAGGCGAAAGCCACCGGGCGTTCCACCCCCTATTGAATCTGTAAGAGAGCACAGCGCCTAGCGCCACCCCGGAAGCGTCGCAGGTGACCATAGTGGGCACGGTCAGGCTAAAATGGGACAGTGTGGGTGGGGACGTGAGCTGCCGTTTGATGATGCACACGGCTTCGTGGCAGGCCGGGGTCCAGTCCACGGAACATCCTTCCTGAGAAGCTGGCGGAGGGGGGCCGTTGAGTCAGAGTAGTATGGCATGAATCTGAGGTAGTAAGCGGCCATCCCCAGGAAGGAAGACAGCTGGGATGGTGAATGCGGGTCTGGCAGGGACAGAATGGCCTCAGTGTGGGACATTATTGGGGCGATGCCCTCCTTCGAGAGCCTGAAGCCCAGGAACTCGACCTCCTCAACCCCGAACATGCATTTCTCAGAGTTCAGTGTGACCCCATGCTGTTCGAAACGCTGAAAGACCTGCTCCAGGCGATCGTCATGCAGTGCGGTGGAGGGCGCATGCACCACCACGTCATCCAGGTAGATGGAGACACCCTGGATACCAGCCAGTATGAGTGACATTATCTTCTGAAAACAGCTCGGGGCTGATGAAAGTCCAAATGCCATACGTTTAAACCTGAAAGCCCCCATGTGCGTGACAAACGCCGTAAGATCCATGCTGGCCGGTGCCAGAGGGACCTGTAGGTAGCCGTTTCGTAAGTCCATCTTACTGAAAACAGTGGAGCCGTGGAAATGGCTAGTGAGCTCCTCAGCCGTAGGTAGGGGATACTTATCAGGGATGATGGCTTTGTTGACATCTGTGAGGTCGACACAGAGCCGCAGTCCGCCCCCCCTTTTCTTGGCTATCACCAGGTTAGACACCCACGGCGAGGCGTCGACAGGCTCTATGATGTCCACCTCCACAAGGCGATGCAGTTCGGCCTCCACCGCGTCACGGAGGGCCAGGGGAATGCGTTGTAAGGGCTGGATAACAGGGCGGACTGACGGGTTTACAGTGGGCTGGTGTACAAAACCAGTCATGCGGCCCAGCCCGTTGAACAGTTGTGGGTAGCGGTCAGGCCAGGAGATGGCAACTTGCAGGACATGCAGGCCCCTAGCATCACTCACACTAAAACCCAGGGCAAGGAACAAGTCTAGGCCCACAATGTTAGCTCCCTTCCGGGTGATGCAGAACTTGGTGGCAGGCGCACATTGTTGATCATACCTGACGGGCAGGCGGGCCACACCCAGAGTGGAGATGGGAGAATGGCCGTAGCCTAACAGGGGTTCAGCCGCTGCTTCCAGAGGCACGCGACTGAAAAAGCGATCATATGTGCATTTGTTTAGAATTGACACTTTCGCCCCTGTGTCCACGAGGAGTGGAATGAGAGCTGTGCCCACACGGCATGTGCAGAGCTTGAACGAAGGCTGTGAGGTCTGTTTTACTTTTGCCTGAATGTGTTAGCGTTTTGAAACATAAGTGCATCACAGTGCGAAATGTGTTTTAGTGAGTCAAGTCAAGTCAAGTCACCTTTATTTATATAGCGCTTTTTACAAGATTGTATCAAAGCAGCTTCACAGTGATAACATGAAAATAATACAACAAAGTTTGTTTCTAGAAGAAAATTGCGTCAACGTCCACCTTAAGTAAGGCAGATCAATAATATTGTTGAATATTAAATGTCCCCAACTAAGCAAGCCAAAAGCCAAGGCAACAGTGGCAAGGAACCAAAACTCCATCAGGTGACAGAAAGTGATATCACCTGAGGTGATTGAGAATGAGGTGATCACTCAGTGAGTGAGAATGTTTAGAGTTTTGCAAAAAGAGTGTATTAGATTTGCAAACAGTGTTTTAGCTACCTGAACTTGTTTAATATTTTACAGAAAAAGGGATTTATTCGACAAATTGGTTTAGCCTATTGAGAATTTGGTTCAGAGAATGGGGTTTAGTGTTTTAGGAATTTAAAAAAAACTGTAATTAGGTTAATTATCTGAATGTGCTCCTCCAAAACTTTGTTAATAAAACATAATTTAAAGACATGCGTTAAGTCACTTTGTGCATGCATATTAATACATGCATGGCTTAAAAATGCATGACATAACCGCACAAGGAGTAGCCTACTTGGAGAAGCTCTTAACACTGGTTTGACATGTATAATACAGCAACCAATTGTGATGTGGCACAACAAGCTCACATTTTAAAGTGGAGTGGTAATTTCCCAGTCTTTTGGAACTCTACTGTCTGTTTTCAGTTAAGAAAAGAATGGTATTATTCTTTACAGGTTGAATGGACAGGAATACCCATCTCTTTAACCTACCATACACATAACACATGATCACATTTCTATAATTCAAATCCAGGATTGTTACACTGCATAAATTAGGTCAACACCTAGTTGAGTGTTCCAGGAGTTGAGTGTTCCAGGAGTTGAGTGCACCAAGTGTTCCAGGAACACTTCCCAGAACATCCATATCCAGACCAAATGGTAGACCTGCACCGAGAGATGACAACGCAGCCCTGAATGTCAGCGAACCCCATGCCGAGTCCTAGAGTCAGATACAAAGACCTGGTCGACCAGACAAGTCCTCTGCACAGAGCCCTATGTGATGAAACTTGTGATGCAGTCTGGAATCACAATCGCATCATGTTCGTTGGTTTGACCAGAGGAGAACTGGACCCTGACTGACTGAGCCTGGTTTCTCCCAAGGTGCCCTTATTGGATGAGAGCTGAACAATGACACTATTGACTCTTCAGAGCTGCTTTGCAACATTGAGCATTATTTTCCCGTTTCACTGTAAAGCTGCTTTGAAACAATCTGTATTGTATAAAGCGCTATATAAATAAAGGTGACGGTAAATAAATGGAGGTGGTGGAGACTTTGTGGAAGTGGTTTTTATTAGTTTTGCCGTCAGTATCACACTTAAGCATTTTCATTTGCCAACCACCACAGGTTTTTCCTAATTACTCACATTGCATATATGTGATAGGACTACATTTTTAGACCAATGTTACAACAAATGTGCACGTACATCAAATTGAACCCGTACCGGAGTACATACAACACAAGTCTCTAATTAAATACCATATGCAGATTTTACAAACATTGTACACATGGATACTGACATGTTCCAATCTTACAACTGGGCAACTTTTTTCCCCACTTCATTTACACATCAGCATTTTGTTTATTTTACAAGAACTGCTTTTTTTTTGTCATATCATATGACTGCTTTCTTGCTAACTGTAGAGATTCTTCAACTGAACGAAATGGCTTAAATGTTAAAAGTTACGCCCAGATGCCTTTTTCTAGTCTTTCTAACATGTTATATAATCATTGTCAGTGTTAGAGTTTTATACTGGACTCAAGGGTGGCATATTACACTATACAGTAGAGAAGACATTGTTTGCAAGATCAATAGTTTATAAGTAAATCGTAGATATATCTGAAACGATCACTGAAATTCCATGTGCAAAAATAAGCATATGAAAACATTAAATGAAATGCATAAGATGAGACAAATGACACTAAAACATTTCTTAAAGACATCAAATAGACGTTCAGTGTATGTAAAACTCAAGTGTATGGGGTATTTTGGGCAGTACATTTACATACATAAGAAGCAAGCAGTGGAGTGATTGTAAAGTAAAATTATCTGCCAGATGTTTTCTTCAAATGGTGGGTCCCAAAAGTTTTGATGCTTTACAACTAATTCTTGAAAATAATTAAAAAGCATCTATCAATAGTTAACAAAAGATTCACCCAAAGGTCCTATTTAAAAACATAATAGATCCAGTATTTGCAACAAAACAAAGCAATCACTCATCCAAGCTAATATATAGTCCAAAAATCACTCAATAAAATGGTATGTTTGTTAAGGGCTCAATGCTTCCCATTGGGAAAACAAAATAATCATTAACATATCTTCAACTTCTAAAGTTGACAAACGCCATTTCTGAAGTGATTATACTAAAAGTTAAGGCAGAAAGAAAAGAAAAAAAAGAAGCTCAAATGTTACAAAGCACACAATGGTCGAAGTGTTAAAACACTGGCATCAAAAAAGTAACTAAAATTCACTTTGCAAACTATTCTCTGAATGAGGGTGAATTTCATGTTTCAAAATAGAGATATTTAAACTTATGACACAATCCCTGAAAACAAAACCTTCACTTAACCCTTCCTGAGGCTAAAGCAAAATATTTCAAATATTTCAACTTGAACACTTAACATTCCCAAATTAAAAGAAATGTGCATTTGGCAGATTTCAGAACAAAATCCTATAAAAGTCAAATAAAATCACATAAAACTGAGTTCATGGTTTACTGGTGCAGAGGAGAAGCCTTTGTCACCATTGATACTTCTGTTTGGTTAAGAATAAACCTGCGGAAATAAAAATGGGATAATTCATACAAGTGCTGAGGGTCTCTTGAGCACAGCACTGTATTTCATAGGAACTCGATCTGCCTTCAGCTGAACATTCAACAGGGTGAAGATGGAGATCTCCTGCAGAAGAAGACAACACACCATTATTCACTGCAAGAAATAACCATGGTATGTGATTGCTAGGATGTTCCAAGATGCAGCGAAGGTGTTGATACGCAGTTTCTATGATATTTTGAGTGGTTTTGGCTCAGGGTCAACCCAGACTTTGTTGGTGCCCAGGGAGAGATTTTAGATTGGCGTCACTGAAACACTGGCAACAATAAAATGGATTCAAATTACTTAAAAACAACACTTTTTCATTAATACAAAGCTTCCTTTTCTTTCGTTCCTCCCTAAGCCAAATTTAACATCCATTCAGCCCAATAAGTGAGTGTTGTAAAATGCAGTCTACTGTTGCTAAACTGCGGGACGTGCTTGATATTAAACAGTGTTATTAAAAAAAATATTAAGCTGCAAAAGAGATGCTGTTCCCCAGGCGGCCTCCTGTGCGTACGCCCTGAGATGGGGAACGGGCATAGGCAAACTTTACCGTGTGGGCTTCAGATACGCTCCTAAACGGTCAAATAGCCTACACACAAAAATGTCGAAATTCCGTTTTAAGTATCCTCATAAACACAGTCGGTTATATCTTAAGTCAATGTAAACATTTTGAGAAAGCGTGTTTGATCTGAGCAGCCCTTGAAGTCATTAATGTTAATCAAACAACAAGATAAAAATCACACTACAAAAGTTATTCATTCAAGAGCAGTTTTAAATAAGGATTAGTCTATATTTCATGTATACAGCAGTGTTATTTTGATCACTTTATTCAATTTCTGTTGTAGGCTATTACTTATCTGAATACTACTGTTAGTACATCTTCCTGAAAAACCTTAAGCACTTTATTTAATTTGTATTTTTGTTCTGTTGTATTTTTTGTTCACTGTTGGTGTAATGGTCAGGTGTCCCAATACTTTTGTCCATATAGTGTATATGCAGTTGGTACGGTGTCCCAGGCAGTTTCATGGGTGTTGCTAAGCGGTTGTTAGGACGTTCTGAGTGTTTTTATGTATTGCTATGTGGTTGCTAGATTCTGAGTGGTTGGGAACATTGTTATGTGGATCACTGCTTCTGTTATAAATGTAAAAGCATATCCTCATGATTAAACATTTTTGTTAAACATTTTGAAATTGTAAACATTGTGTTTGCAACTGCACTCATTATAAAGCCACCAATATAACAGATATTGAGAAAATGAGGCTTTAAGCAAACAGAAGAAAGCTGCATGTAGTAGCGCACCTGTTGTAACTCCTTGCTTGGGTCACCTGTTTCCCAAAAAAGCGTCATCTCTGTTTTTTTTCCCACTTTACGGAAGTTGACCGCCTTTAGTCCCTCTAATGACTTCAAGAGAAACACAGCATGTTATTTATTATTCATTATTTCATGCATAATTAAAAAGCAATGAATGTTTTTTTCTGTTGTGGCCATTTATAGTGTGCTGGTTTATAGCTCCGCTGCTTACCACATTCAATGGATTTAAAGGGGTATTCACAGCTGGCAAAATGGGCTTTTAATTAAACTTGGCTGCCTATATGGTAGAAAGGTGAATCATCTGAATCATCAAAACCAACAAAATCATGGTCATCGCTGATTACTCAATATATCATGGGACTATTACATTTAGAATAACTGTCTAGCCAGGATATCTTCCGAGTTTCTGAAACAACAACCTTGCTAAAAAATACTGCTGATACATTATTATTTTCAAATGTTAAATGTTAGGCCTGTAAAAAAAAAGGTTAGTTCATGATTCATTTTTTTTAAATTCCCACTACAAGAACAACGTTCTTGAATGAATAATTTATTAGATTCACGCTGGTCTGTTATTGTAGGGACATCGACTTTACATTTTCACATCCCTAAAAATGACGCGGAACAAAAACTGTGATTGGTTGCGTTACATGTCAGTCAAACGTCCTCGGCCAATGAAAGCTGCGATAGAGACCTTCTGCTGTTAGTCTGGCTACGCGAGACTACTATTGAATAGGCTTGACCAGAATAAAATACTGCCTTGCCCGAGTAGGCAATACTTATTCGCAAACTTTTAGTCTGGATGGTTTTGACTTGTATTGTTCCCAGGTGCAAGAATTCAAAGAGCATGAATTTCTCAGTCCAGGTAACACGGAGAAAGAGTAAACAATGTTCATTTACATATACTACCAACATTGTAACAATACATTGTAACACCAGTTATGGTGCACATAACTGGTGCGTAAGCGTGGTAAAAATAAACTATGCGCACTAGAAAACGTGGAGGGAAACGCTTTTGAGTACCAACATTTGAAGACAGGGACAGGTTTACTTACTGGAGTAGGATTTTTCTCCATCTCTGGTAAGAGCAATCATGTGTGTTCATTAATTATCAGCGGTCCAACGGTGATCTGTACGGATTAACTGCTAAGTTTAACCATCATAGAATGAAAGTTCATCATTTGGACGTGTTATGTCTTGCCAATTTACACATTCAAACGATTTTAAATGCAGAAGAAGAGGCAAAAATCGGGACTCGCACGCCGTTATCTGTGCGCACAGCCTCTCACACGAAGAAGAATAGAGGGAAAAAAAACAAAGTGAATGATAGTCTAACACTAACGGGCAGATTTGCTAACAGCTTGTGCCAGGGCAAACCCTCTTTTGCCAATAAAAACTACTGTCAGGATTAACCGGATGAAGCAGACGAAATTTGAGAGTCAAAAAGGAGATTGCGCCTTTGCTGTAGCAGCGCCTATACTTTGGAACAGTTTCCCGAAACATATTAGAGACTGTACGGGACTCAAAACACATCTGTTTCCAATAGCTTTTAATCAGGGACAATTTTATTTTGTGTGTTTCCAGTGTGATGCTTGTTTTTTTCTTTTTTTCTGTGAGACATTGTAAAGCACATTGGTCAACTTGTGTTGCTTTAATTGTGCTATATAAATAAAGTTGCTATTGCTATAAAGACAAGCAGTGAAAAAATAGCATAGAAAAGGCATGGACGGTTATTTTTGCGGTTGACCTTACGGCTTATGCATTTGTAGGAGTTACCTTTTCAGATGCAAAAATTTATTGGAATAATAGTATTTAAATGAATCATGCAAGGTGATTTACTAAGGTTTGCGCTAGTCAATTTACTGGTATTTGCGCCATTATTTAACGCCCACAAAAAGCATGTCTTAAACCATAAACCATACAAACAAAGCCCCGCCCACCGATTCACGCATGTAGTAGGAGGTGAGTAAATAGGAGGTTATTAAAGGACATAAACACATTAATGGAGCCTCCAGGTTTTACGCATTAATAAAAATAGGCATGACAATAAATTGTATTTTAAGAGAATAAGTAAATGTATATACTAATACTAAAAACTGCTAATTTAGAATTTGAAACATGATTGGGGACATGGGAATTTGCCTGTCAAATGCTTAATTTTTTTATTATCCTTAGGTACTAATTATGAATGTGTGTTAATTGGGGTACATCTATGGATGAAAAACCATGTGGGTATGAAACTTGATTAACATTTTATGTGAAATATGCAGTATTGTTTCATGGGGACATAAAATCCACCAAACTATAGGAAAGACCCAAACACAGGATTACCCGAGCAACAAAACGATAGATGCTTCTGAGGATTACAAGGATTGCTGAATTTCACTGGTTTACTAGTTTACTATTTAGAAGGAAAAGCTGTGAAAAAAAATAGTTGAATAAGTCATACGTACATTACAGTAGATTCGTTTCTGCACTCCATAGCGAAGCACCAGCACATCAAAGGACTGGTCCAGAACCCCCATGACCATAGCCTCCGAATCCAGAGGACCACACTCCTACCAGCAACATCACACTCATTAATGAATGCTTTGTTTACCAACATCATTTCTGTAATAACTATGCTTACAATATATCAAGGGCAAAATGTATTTGCTCAAATTTGTTCAGAGTTTACTTTATTACTATTACTATTTACATGCAGAAGACTTTTACTCTATGTGCAAGCTGTGCAAATGATACATAAAACCTGACCTCTTGAGTATCTTTGCTATAATACATACCTTCACAAAGACAGCAAAGAAAAGTTCAGAGCTCAGCTCTTGAACTCTCTTTGAAGCAGTCTTCCTGTCATTGCAGTGGGATGACTGTTTGTGTACTTCCTCTCCTGTGAGACTCAAACGTGGCCCACAGTCTGTAATGACAGATAGAATAAATATGAGGCTCCAGATAAAACGGCACTTAACTTAAAGTCTGCATGAACCAGAAGTTGTGCATTTCAGAATGAGATGCAATACAGAAAGATAAAAAAGATAGAAGGCAGGGCTTGATTTTAGCGCACATCCTCGCCATCTCTAGCTCACAGCAGACTGACAATTGGAGAGGAGTTGCTAAGGATGTTCTGCCCAAGTCGTCAGAGAGGAACACCATTCCAAAGGGGAAGCACATTTTGAGATTTTGACTAAAGATTACAAAGATAATTTTTTTCATTTGGTGGATTAACTTGCACAGATGAATTGTTCACCACAATACTAGTAATGGTCAAAGTAAAGTAAATAGGGTCAATTTAGTTTTACTGAGACTTTTATAAAACACTGGAGCTGCAACTGAAGCATCCAGGTCAAAATATATGACAACTGAATGATAATTTTACACTTTCAAATGTGTTTTAGTAAATGTTGACAAGAACTTGGCATGTTCATGTAACTCATGTAACCTAATTTGTGACTCAATTACAGTGGGTTGTATTAGCATCTTCTTGGTCGACTTTACAAAGGATGTGTTTGGATATCTTTGTAAAGAGAGTTACCAATCGGGAGAAGGGTATACAAAAGTATTTCGAAACCGTTAGATGTGCCATGGAATACTGTGAAGGCCATCATCAACAAGAGGAGACAACAGGGCACCATAATGACATTCCAAATGAAAGGGCACCCGTTCAAAATTGATGGATGCTAGGACTTACAGTAGCATTAATTGAGCTGTAGGAATATCTGGTAAGTATTGGTCACATGCTGCATGTGACAACAACATCATATGTCTGGGCTATGGGTAGGGTAGATGGAGGCAATTACTCACAAAAATAAAAAAGAAGAAAAAACACGGTTAAAAACGCAGCCGCTAGAGTTCTTACTAGAACCAGGAAGTATGACCATATTAGCCCGGTTCTGTCAACACTGCATTGGCTCCCTATTAAACATTGTAAGTGATCAGCAATATTTTAAAATTTATACAAAGCACTAAATGGTTTAGCTCCCCAGTAATTAAGCGAGCTCTTAACGCATTATAGTCCTTCACGTCTATTGCGATCTCAAAATTCCGGCCAGTTGATAATACCTAGAATATCAAAATCGACTGCTGGCGGTAGATCATTTTCCTATTTAGCACCAAAACTTTGGAGTAGTCTTCCTAGCATTGTCCGGGAAGTAGACACACTCTGTCAGTTTAAATCTAAACTAAAAACGCATCTCTTTAACCTGGCATTCACATAGAACATTATACATTTCTATTATTCAAATCAGTTAAATGATTGTTAGGCTGCATAAATTAGGTCAGTCGGAACCGGGAACTAGAGGTCTGCACTCCCGCGGAACCCGCGGGTCGCGACGCAAAACAGTGCGGCGCGGGACAAATTTTGAAAGGTCATTGCGGGAGCGGACGGGATGATGGAGGTGCACTTGCGGGTGCGGGCGGGAGGGATGATAGCCTACGCCGCACTCCCACAAATTAAATATGAGTGTAAAGTAAAATAAATGATTAAAGAAGCGTACATAATTTGTAGTTGTGAGGGATATTCTGTTTGGCAGCAATAAAAACGTTTTAAGCAGCCAAAACTTGTGGATGTTGTCGTTTGGGGTAGGGCGGGGCCTAATCTCACGCACACTTGTTTTAGAGACGTCCTTCCCGCTGCTCTGTGTTCGAACTCAAAAGCTTCAAGTTCAAAATAGACAGCATGGACGAGGAACAGCGCCTCTAGTCTAAGCAGCAGCTGCTTTTTTTACCTTTATTTTGATCATTTTCATTTAGACATGCTGGTAGCGACCTGCTGAGTTTTTATTTTTATTATTAAAAGGTATGCACAGGCTGTTTTCAGTTTAACACCTTCACTGAGCTCAAAGCCCGAATAGCTTTTTAGTCTTTTACGAATGTTCATGGCTAGCCTATAATGTGACCAGAACATCTAATATATAATTAGATATATTAGATAGATAATAATATTACCTCATCGAATATATTTTATATTTTTGTTTTTGGTTACAGCCAAAGGCTGTTTTTATTTATTTATTTATTTATTTATTTAAAAGGGACAATGCATATGAATGAACATAGTTTTTCAGCAATGTACATATGCCAAAATTAGCCCCCAGGCTATTTTACATTTGTAGTCCCATGTGAGGTCATCAAACATTACCCAATAACACAGCTAAACATTTAATTTAAACATGATTCGACATTTTTTTTTTTTTTTTTTTTTTTAAAGGACACACGATTAACAACAACCTATACGAAATGAAACAAATCAGTAAACAGGGCATCTAATATGACATACTCATACATGACGGACACATGCAAAAAACACATACATAGTAAAGTGCTACTTAAAGTGCATTAAGTGCTATATCAAATTCTTCAAGTGCTATTAGATGCTGCACAATGCTAGATCTAGTTTGGTATGCATACATACATACACTTATAAAGTAATACAATGAACCGTATCTATTTATCTAAATTAAAACAATTATCAGTAGTGGGCACATATTTGATTTGTTTTAAGCCATTCTTTAAGTTGGTTCTTAAAACAGGGGAAGGTCGGGCTTTCTCTCACAGCAACCGGTAATTTGTTCCAGATCTCTGTCCCCTTAATTGATAGTAGTACATATTTTCCGAAAGCTGTACGTCTGTGAGGCACCACACAATCACCTCTCGTGCAGGCCCTGGTTACACTTCTGCCTCCATCCGTTGTTTTCACTTTAATGTAGTCACTTAGTGGGGTTGGGGCTAGACCATGTAAGGTCTTATATATAGCACAGGCGTATTTGAGCTTTAAGAAATTTGCAAAGCTTAGTAGGTTATATTTTTGTAAAATTAAGCAGTGATGATATGAGAGTGGTTTCCGGTCTAAAATTTTTAGGGCTTGTTTGAAAAGTGACTCCGTTTTTTTTAGTATTGTGGCGTTTGTAAGTGACCAGTTTGTAAAACCATATTCCAGATGAGAAAGGATCATACAGTGAAGAAACATTCTGGCCACTTTATATGACAGGGATGGTCTAATGAATCTAAAGTTAGCAAGATTAAATTTAACGTTTTTTGATAAGCTTTTTATTTGATTTTTAAAAGACAGTGTTGGGTCTAGTACAATGCCAAGGTATTTAAATTCGTTTACTAACTGTAGTTCTTCTTGGTTTAAAAATATATTTGAGCGAGTTACTTCAATGAGCCGCTTTGAGAACATCATACAGACAGTTTTTTTAGGGTTCAGTAGTAAACATGATTCAATGAGCCACTCCTGTACACGGCTCAATGCATATGTAAGTGACTGAGAGGCTTCTTGAATAGTTTTTGCTTGTGTAAAAATTACTGCATCATCTGCATACATTAAAATATTGATATTTTGGCATACAGTAGGCAGGTCGTTAATGTATAAAGAAAAAAGAAGAGGGGCAAGTATGGAGCCTTGTGGAACCCCTACTGGACATTCTAAATACGGAGATTTAATGTTGTCAATAGAGACACAGTGTATTCTATTGGCCAGGTACGAATTCATCCAGCTGATGGCTTGTTCAGAGAAATTGAAATGAGTTAATCTAGATAGGAGCATCTGATGATTTACAGAATCGAATGCCCTTTTCATATCTAGAAAAACAGCACCAACAACAGGATGCGTATCTAATGAATGTTTGACCTTTTCCATAAAAACATTAACAGCTGTTTCAGTTGAATGATGAGCACGAAAACCAAACTGCATTGGATGCAGAGGCGAGCCGCATATATTTAGATGTTTTATTAATTGTTTTGCTATCCATTTTTCAATAATTTTTGATATAACTGGCAGGATACTAATTGGTCTATAATTATTTATATCTAATCTACTCCCTGATTTAAAAATTGGTGAGATTGTGGCCATCTTCCAGTCTGGAGGAACAGCAGATTGTTTGATTGATAAATTAATCATATGCGTAATAGGGCATACTAACGACTCTTTATGTAGTTTAAAAAAAATGAGTGTCCAATCCAAACTGATCCTTGGCTTTGGAATTATTTAACTCATCAATGATGGATGCCACATCTGGTTCCGTGATGTCTTTTATCCTAAATATAGGTTGTGAGCGGTTTACAGGAGAAGAGACACATTTAGGTGTAATGAATAATTGAGATATTTCTTGGACAGAATTTTTAAAAAATGAATTTAACTCAGACGCTAGAGTGAGTGGATCTTTCACCACTACATTATTAATTTTAAGTTCAGTTAATTTATCTTGTTTATTCTGTTTGCCAGTTAGTTTATTAATGCTTTGCCATATTTTTTTCCCATTCCCTTTTGCACCGTCAATAATATTCATAAAAAAATTTGATTTGGCCTTCCGCATTATTTGTATAACTTTATTTCTTGCTGAAGTGAATTGTTGTCTGTCTGAGGTAAGGCCAGTATTAATCGCTCTTTTTAATAATTGATCTCTTCTCTTCATTTGCAAACGACAATCATTATGAAGCCATGGTATGGCATTGTCTTTCGTTCTTCTATGCCTCACCTTTTTTATAAATGATGCCATAACCATTTTAACCTTGCTATGAAACATGACGCTATTGTCTATGATATCTTCGCTTGCGATTAGGTAAGTCCAATCCTGCCCATTCAGGGCTATTTCCAAATTTTGATGTTGACATTTAGGGATTATATTATGAAACAGAGAATTTTTTGAAACAATGGAATTACAAGATCGTGTTTTAGTTAATTTTCGTGAAAAAAAGATTCCATTTATGATCAGACAAACCAGTTAAAAGATTGTAGGTTTTAATAATTCTTTCAGGTTTGTTTGTAAAAATTAGGTCTATTGTTGTTTTGGAGCGATTAGTTATTCGAGTTGGCGTTTTGATTAATTGTTCCAAATTAAAATAATCTGTTGTGTGTTTAAGGTTTTTCCTTTCTTTCTTATTATCCCAATTAATATTAAAATCACCTATTAAAATTAACTCTTTTTTCAGATTAACAAGATTGATAAGGGTTTTAAGATCACTATAAAAGTCTATTTTAGCTGATGGTTTACGATACATGCATATGACTGTAAAAGTCATTTCTTTAGAAAGTATAATCTCTACTCCCACACACTCAAGTTTAATGTCATCGGACCATACAATCTCATTACATTTAAGGGTGTCTTTGACATATAATATAACCCCCCCTCCCTTCCCCTGACCCCTATCCTTTCTAAAAACATTGTAACCAGGTATTGTTATTGCTGCCTCAGGTGATGAAGAGGTTAACCACGTTTCTGTTAATCCTAGAAAGGAAATATTTGATTGTATTAAAAGATGCTCTAACTGTTCACGTTTGGGAATCATGCTTCTAATATTCAGGTGTCCACCAAGTAGCCCTTTAGGTTTGCAGCTTGGATCCCAAATCATCTTTGCTTGATTTATAGACTGGAAAATTCTTGATGCTCTATGTTTCTTAAAAACTAGGTATTTATGTTTGACTGAGGTTATCATACCTTGGTTGTATTCATTACTGCTGTTTATACCTAATGAAGTTGATATCGTTTTGTCTTTACTGCCAAATGTCTGTACTGCTTTGCTGGTACCTTGAACTGGTCTCGCCATTTCTGCGTTGGTGTCCGAGTGTTTCGAATCGATGTTTATGTCAAATTTCTGGGCACCGTGTTGAAGGCGCAGACCCACGGGTGAGGCCACTGCCGCGCCGCCGACCCGGCGCATCCGGTTCACGCGAGCCAGGCCCAGATCCGCCCGCGGAGCCGACCGCACGAGCGGTATGACGTTACCACCGCGCCTCCGATCGGCATGATCAGGACCCGTAGACCAGGCGTACCATGGCGACGACCAAGCGCTCCGCGTCAACAACCGGGTGAGCTGCACCGATGGTCGACATATTAGCTGCGGTGGAAGCTGTGGTGATGGCCAGGTGAGCTGCGCCGGTGGTAGCCAGATGAATTGCGGCGATAGTATCCAGGTTAGTGGCGACGGTATCCAGGTTAGCTGTGGTGGTAGCCAGATCAGCTGCGGCGAGGATCTACAAGTTGATGATAATGATAGGCCGGAGAGCTGCGGCGATGGAAGGCCGGAGAGCTGCACCGGTGGTATCCAGGTTAGCTGCAACGGTATTATCCATATTAGCTGCGGTGGAAAACAAATTAGCTGTGGTGATAGCCAGGTGAGCTGCGCCGGTGGTAGCCAGATGAGTTGTGGCGATGATATTCAGGTTAGCTGTGGTGGTAGCCAGATGAACTGCGGCGGTGGTCTACAAGTTGGTAGCGATGGTAGGCCGGAGAGCTGCGGCGATGGTAGGCCGGAGAGCTGTGCCGGTGGTATCCAGGTTAGCTGCGGCGGTTGTATACATGTTAGCTGCGGCGTTAACCCGGTGAACTGCCCCGATGGTGGCCAGAGTTGCTGGGGAAGCTGCCTGGGTTGAGTTGATTGAATGATAACAGAGCTGTTTACAACCATAGGCGGTGGACCAGGATTTGTTTCTACATCACCTGCCAGTAGCAAAATAGCTGTGAAGTATACAAATCCCATGGAAGGGCTGAGTGTGTTGGTCTGCTGGTGTTTCGTTAAAGGGGGCCTTGCACGGCCATTGTCCAAGAATCTTGAGAACAGTAAATGTTGACTATATTTAGCTGAAAAGACTTGATCACAATTTTCGCTTTTACTATTACAAAGACGTGATACACATAACAATAAATACACGCTTGTAACAGCGGTTAAATATAGAGCAATTTGTGGAAGAGACGGAGATCTTTTTGATGGTTTTCGAGATATTTGATACGACCCCGCAGGACCTGACTGACTGCGTGAATGTGTTCCGGCGGCCATCTTTGGGTAATGAACTTATTGATCTGTTTTTGTTAGGCATAAGGTATACACGATAATTAAGTATATTGGTATTTGTGCCGACTAATGTTTATCTTTGTTGGCGTTAGTTACTGATGCCTATTTAATGTTTTGTATGGTTGAACATATGCAGGCTTACCAATAAATATGTTAGCCTACCAAGCTTTAAGCTTTATCAAGAATTAGTGCGCACGCATGTTTCCCCCTAGACCTTTCGTGAGACAGAAAGTGAACATCCTGTCTGCCGTCTTGCGGGCATTTGCGGGCGGGAGCGGGACATAATATCACAGATGCGGGCGGGAGCGGGACTAAAAATTACAAATCTTTGCGGGAGCGGGACTGAACACTGCGGGAGCGGGACTGAAAATTGTGTCCCGTGCAGGTCTCTACCAGGAACATTTCCTATAAAATCCGATGTACTTATTACATCATAAGAAGAATGGCATCTACGCTAATATTAGTCTCTCTGTTTATCCCGAGTTTTACTGTAGTCAGCCGGATCCGGGCCGTATCCAGATCAGATGATGGACCTGCGCTTGGACACGACCACAACGCATCCCTGAAGTGTCAGCAGAGATTGTGTCAACTAGACTCTCCCCTGTGAAGCCCTCATCGACACGGCAGCCATCGGCACTGATCCTTAACAAACCCGTCTCCATACCGGCGTGATTCTGATCTTCAACCAGATGGAACTGGATAACATTCTGATTGTTCTGATCCAATCTGACTTCTGACCTGTAATTCTGCCTGAATCATAATCAATTGTTTTCCCCCCCTCTATTCTGTCACCTGATGGAGTTTGGGTTCCTTGCCACTGTCGCCTTTGGCTTACTTAGTTGGGGACACTTAATATTCAACAATATTATTGATCTGTTATCACTGTAAAGCTGCTTTGAAACAATCTGTATTGTAAAAAGAGCTACATAAATAAAGATGACTTGACTTAAAATAATGATTAAAATTGGTTTGAACTTTTGATTTTAAAAGGTACGTTTGGCTCAAAAACAAGACCGCTCATCACGCAAATAACACCATAAACACAATGAAGCTAGATGGTGCAAGCATCATGCTCCTTCTCCTCAGCTGGGACTGGGGCAGTGAACTACTCCAGTTCTTGTTAAAACACACTAGACATGCTTATTATGTGCATTTTGTTCACTTTTTGTGAGAAATCATATTTGTTTTGTCCATCAAAAGTGTGCTTTCACTTTAATTGAGCGCGAGTAGTGCAGCAAAAATAGACTCGGCGCCGAAACCCCTGATTCACTGATGCTCTATTACCGGTAAATGTTGCATTGCATAGTGGAACATTTCCCTCACTAGTGAGCAGGCAGCAGGACGTTGAGAACCTCTAGTGGAGCTGGAGCACATTACAGAAAGCCTTCAGTCAAGCAATAGTCACATGCACCCTGACTCTTGAACACGAGTAACTCACCAATGGAGGCGGCCAGTAGACGGTGCACTATGACATCAGCATAGCGTCGTATAGGTGAAGTGAAGTGTGTGTAAAGAGGCACATTCAGAGCATAATGACGGAAGAACTTCTCATCCTTCAGAGCTCCAGAACAGAAATACACCGCCATCTACACAGGAAAACAATATCAAATAATTCTGATTAAACCTGGAAAGAATTGAGCCGGATGACACCACTGTAATGCTGCATTATAGCCGTTTTGACTTGGTTTCATAATTGATTAATTTTGCAACATCAACAACGTTATTGAACTTAATTCTCAAAGTGGATATCCTGCTTTACCGCAGAATTCTGATGTATCATTGATCATTATTTTCCTGGTTATTGCACAGCTGCTTTGAAACCATATGTATTGTATAAAGCACTATATAAATAAAGGTGATTAGACTTTAATTAAAAGGGAGCAATAATGCCCTTTATTTAAGTGCACAATGTATTTTTATGTTAAGAGTATCAAGCTAGAATCAATCTTTAGGATAGGTAGCTGCCAATAGGTATGGTTCCATCCAGAGTTGCGTATTTAATTTAAGCACAAATAGTTAAATTAAATTGAAATTTAAGTATCAATATCGCATAAAACATTTATGAATAATGAACAGTTTCCATCCAATGACCGGAAGAGAACAAAATCGTCACTTCCTGATAAACTGGCGCTAAATATCATAAGAAAAATGGAAGTTGCAGAACCCACAGTAGGAGAAGCCACTGTATAAAATAACTTCACATAAAATAAATGACTTGCGCATTTGCGAATTTATGCATATTTTGGTGTTTCCATCCAGCGTTATTTAATGCGAATTATGAAAATGCGCATAAAAATGGATGGATGGAAACATAGCTAATGTAAACAGTGAAGCAGCTCACTAAGTTGTGAAAGAGACAACATCCTCTTCCTACTCAACATGGTGTGGACATGTACATGAACAGGAAGTGGATTAAAACTGTTAATAACAGGAGCACATCTTCACCTGCATTGGCCTGGAGCACATGTGAGTGAGAACTTCTTTCCTGGCAGCTGTATACTCGTCATCCCCAAAGCTTTCATTCAGACTCCTCTGTCATAACAAAAGACACAGATTAGTATGTGCACACACGCGCGTTGGGTATTTGTGTTTCATGAGCACTCCATTGACAATTATAATGATATAATGGCTTTTATACTGAACAAACTTTACACTATTTCCTAATCTTAACCTTTTCAAAAACATTTTGCATTTTTATATATATTTTTTTAAAAACATCTGGGTTACACCTAGTCCTTGAGTAGAAAACAAGACAATGTGTCAGTAGCTGATGCTAGGGGAACACCTTTGGGTTGTGCCAATTGTCTAAAGACTATATAGAATCACGCCAAGCTATGGGAAAACTTCACATATAAACCAGCACCAATGTGCAGCATCCACCTGGATGATGCGACGGCAGCCATATTGCGTCAGAATGCCCACCACATATCATCATATTGTGGAGAGGAGACAAAGTGATGAAGCCAATCAGTATATATATATTAGTGTTGTCAATAGATTAAAAAAAAACCCACATTTTTTTGTGTCATCTGAAGGACGGTGCTGTTTTGACAGAATAGTGTTCCCATCACTATACTGGGGCATTAGGACACACACAGACCACAGCTTGAGCACCTCCTATTGGCCTTACTAAGACCTCTTCGAGCAGCAACACAGTTTTGCCAGGAGGTCTCCCATGCAGGTACTGACCAGGCTCAACCCTGCTTAGCCTCAGTGTGCAACCAGGCTACAGGGTGATAGCTGCTGGCTTAACTGATTAGATTTATGCCACTGGCAAGTGTGGTCAGTAGTAGTCAAGATAGATCAAGACACAGATGCTACCGAGTCTCAAGGGTTCCAGACCAGCACCCATGCATCAGAACCGCGTCTCCTCGCAGCAGATCTTCATGTGTGTGACGAAGGGATTCCTGATGCTGTTTTGACTCCTTTACACATTTTATAAGCTCTTTACAAGTTCTCAGCTGTTCAAAATACCATCATATGCAGTCTACGCACACACAACGAGCGCATTTATCCCAGCAAACACCATTGTTTTGGATGTTCAGCAAGTTCCGTCTCAAAATAGGCAACACGTCATAAAAGCCCACCAAAACAGTTTGAGCATGAGGCACTTTACGTACCATGAGTGTCGTTGCTCAAAATATATAAAGCGACAAAACAGCGGCACACACAAAATAGTCCACTCGATTTTGTTGCTGAAAAACACTGAATAAGCAACACACTTAGCTGGCATGATTATATAAAGACAGTCAGCACCACCCAAAGGTCTTCCAGGTTTGTCGGAATGCAACAATATGGTTGTGGAAGTAAAAAATCCCAATTTAACAATTGGGCATCCACTTTTATGTAGGATCTTTCATTGTGAAGTGGAGATTGAATGTCAAGGTTTCCTTTAACAGTACTTTAACGTCTGTCTCAATGTTCCTGGTTTGGATCTGGAAGTCAATTTGCCAATGTTGGTTTTTAATGCTGTTAACATAGTTTGAGATACCCACATGGAGTGCCCCAGATGAGGAGAAGTCAACATCAAGGCCCATTTGGTCACAAAATTCCTGCAGGTCATCCACCATCTTGCTCTGGGGTGGCGGGTGTCTCCGCAGTAGGGCTAATTCTGGGTATGTGCGGTAGATCTGATGGGCGACCGCCATGTTTGCCAGCAACATGAACTCCTCCACCAGTCTGTATGACACAAGGCATGTGATTTATTGTTCAGAAGCTCAGTATGAAGGTGTTCAGGGCCACATGTTGTGCAATACCAGAACAGGAGGTGACCAGTTCAATTTCACAAAGAAATTACAACTAGCAAAAGGACAAAACCAAACAAAGCTGGCTTTAAATGACAAAGCATGAGCATTTTATCACACAAACCACAGTCAGAGTCATATCAACAGTTTTTGTGTGCATTCTTACTTGTTGCTGTCCCGATACTGATAGATGTAACAGCCCTGAGGCATGCTGGACTCCTTATCGAGGGTGAAAGATAGCTTAAGCTGTAACCAGAAAATGTCAACAAATTAATTAGACAAACATTACTGCAACTGTCATTAAAAAAAGATCATCAAAACATTCAGTTGCAAAATTACTCCCTGTAGGCTCATTTAGAGTATAAATTAATTTGCACTAATCCAAGGGTATGTTATACGAAACTTGCACACAATTACTAGTGAAAGAGGTTCAATGAGAGTCCAATTCTAGATGTTCCATGTTTTCTTATAGATATTTGAACAGCCTTCTAATACAGTAGGTATCAAATAGTACATTAATCCCTCATCTAGAAACTCATGTTTTATCATAAACTGACCAAATTAAACTTTACTTTTTAAATTAAAAACAAGAAAAGCATAGAGTGGGCTTAAAAAAGTACATGTGTCTCAACCTTATAAGCTCACCTGTCTTCCAAATAAGCCCAATTTGTGTTTTTTAATGTCATCTGACCTTACTTCTAAACATCTTTTTAAAAACCGAAAAGAGTTAAAACCACCAATAGTCCCTCTTATCCAATAGCAAAAACTTGTAGTCCGTCTGGAATCTGGAGTGGCCTATTTGAGAGTGTTTATTTCGAAAGTCGCAGCAGGAATATATTATCTACACCCACTGTTCTCTACCAACTACAAGATTGATTTCGTAAGGTTCATTTGTGCTACAATGATTGGCATTCAGCTTGCCATTTTTTAAAGATAAAAGCCCAGATAAGAATTGTTATAGTTTTAACATTTTTCAGCATAATTTCAATAATAAGCAGACAAAACTATTCTCAAACATTCTCTTCTTGTGGATGGCTCTTGGCCAAAATTACTAGTAAAGCTGATCAATAAGTGAGATGATCAGTGAGGAAGATATATTTGGATGAAACTCAAAGCTTTGCCTCTAGTACTGGTGATCGCTCATTACACATGAACTACGTGATTGGCGCAAAGAAAAACAGCATGTGAACAGCTTTGTGCTGGAAGTTCCGTGCCAAATTATCCCTGAATAACTTGAATGAATTCTACACCCTGAGGGAATCACCACCCAAAGAGATCCATCACTGAGACACATCAACCAAAAGTACTCATATCTTTATGAAACTTCCTCATAACAACAGGGATTATGTAAGGGAAAGATTTTTGGTGAGCCTAATGAAAAACACCTATGATACAACACATTACAATTGTGTTCATGAAGTCTGCAAGTTACATAAACTAATAGTTTATGTTACATAAACTAACTGCTTGTTCCTGTAAACCGATCTATGTTTATCCAATATTCATCTGTCTATCCAACTTTCATCCATCTATCTGAACAAAAAAAAAAAATGTTTAGGTCACATTTACCCTATCCAAATAAATAGATTATGATCCACAAATAAATGTAAAGTGATTCACAAAAAACGTATAAACAAATTAATACAATTAGCTTTTCCAATAAAAAAAACCCCACTCATAAATATGTTTTTATGTCAAACAGAACTCTGCCTGGCATTCATTTGTGAATCACATCCTCTGTATTAATGGATGGCTTGCTATGCATTTGTGGATCACCACACGCATTTGTGGATTTCAAAACATTTCAGATAACAGCTACAGTGTACGGACCAATTATAGCATGTTCTCACTACAACCAACCACAGTGTTTCCCATACATTGATTTATTTGTGGCCGTCCACCACAATATCAGCATTGACCGCCACAAAGAGATTTCAGTGCTTCCTATTCATTAACTAGACTGTGGTGGCCCGAAAATAAATTTAAACTTCTCATATAAACATAGGTCTTTAATGTCGTGTTTTGCACCATTGCCAAAAAAAATCGATAAGGCTTTGTGTCGTTATCAAAAGACTGTCTGTTTCCGCTGGGCAAAGAGAAGAGTGCACTTCGCTTACGCGATCAGCACATGATCAGCTCTGCGGGTTTGATTCTCAATACCGGTTTTAGTTTGAGTTTAGCATGCATTTGGGAACGTAGCGAGCACCAATTATTTTCACTATTCCATTATTTTCACATTTGCATAGTTGATGATTACAGCATTTCAATAGATTTGTAATGACACGTTTGTAAACATGTTTTCCGCCAAACTGAATATGGATTGGAGCTCTTAAATTTGAATACATTTTACTTTAAAGTGCCCCCATTATGCTATTTTAAAGGCTCCTAATTTTGTTTTGGATGTCTCCTACAACAGGTTTACATGCATTAAAAAAGTAAAAAACAAATTTTCAATGATTCTCAAACTGATGGATGATTCAGTCTCTCTAAATCCCTTCTTTCCGAGAGCCTGCTCTTCTCTGATTGGCCAGATGGCCCAGTCTGTTGTGACACTGGACACAGCGCGACACGACGAGTCACCGGCAGTAAACGGATGGCCCTTTCTACATCTGAAGTACTCCACGCTTGCGTTACATACACAAATATAGGATATAATATCATATATAATACCAAATAACCATCAGTGATGTAACAGCACGAGCTTCAGCATCACTGCAGCGTGTACCGGGGTTTTGGGAGTGGATAATGCAAATAAAAACCTTGCAATGCTGAAAAATACATCTTTGCATTTATTTTTGATGTTGTAAGTAACATTTACAATCAAAAACTATTAAGTCTGATTCCTGTGAAATATTACATGTGTGTGATCAAGTGTTTTAACTAACAAAAAAAGAAAGAAAAAAAAAGCTTTGTCTGCTGAGCATTAAATGTATAATGTCTTTGGAATTCAACAACCTGTCACACGTTTAAAAAGCACCCATGTATATCTTCTCTACAAACAATGGGAATCATTTTGTAATACATTTAAATAATGTTTACAAATAATACTTATATGCTTCATAGACCGTTAGATCCACGGAGCTGCTCATATCAATCATTAAAATGCTTGATTGAAGTACTGGGAAACACGGTTGGCTGTTGTGTGACAGTAATTTCATCTATTACATGATCTTGCATGTTTATCACGAGGTTGAATCCAGTTATGTGTTAGTCAGCTACTTATTGAGGCTTTCTGTTCTATCTTGAATAACGTGACGCTTCCATAACGTGTCTGCATCCAGTACAGTGTTGTTCCCATAGCAGAGAGTGCGGTTTCTCTGGCATTTTCAAAGGCACATTAAAAATAAAAATGTGGCTTGGCTTGATACTCAGTCTTATTTTAGTCATCTGAATTGTTTTAGTTTTAGTCAACTAAATATAATACGATTTGAGTTGACTAAATCTACAGTAGAAAACATTTATTTGTATACATTAAATATAATAAATTCTTATTAAAGCCATTAAAGAGCACTGAATGATTCTCTCTTTTTCTTTTGTTGTTTGATTAATATTAAGGGCACAGATGGCATTGGGTTTATTACACTGCTGTCTTTAAGATCGAAGATCGAAAGCGCAGATCCGATGCAATGATGCACATTCGATATTCTCACAACCGTTTACGTTCTCTAAAGACATAACCGACTGTGTTTGCGTGAATACTCTCCATAACTGATATTTTGACAATGTTTTGTGTATTTGTCCATTCAGACGCAAAAGAGACTTCAGTAAGAGGTAGCTTTCTGTGTGTACGGCTGAGCGCTTCGGGGTGTGTGCGCACAGAAAACCGAAATACCAAATAGAGTTTTCTTTCGAATTGTCACGCTTATTCAGATCTATCCATTTGTCTGCTCTTCTCTTTCTCCCAGACGTTTAAATTTTTTAACGTTTTATGAGACATGCATCAAGTTCATGCCAACTCATGTTCCTCCGGGTGGATCAGCACGTTACAATTCAAATGTGCGCATCTACCACACACTCAGGACAACAGTTCTGACTGGATCTCTTCCCAAATAGTTCCTTCCTAACATTTTCGTCTAGTTTTTATTTGTTGATGAGTTTTGAATGACAAAAATCTGTTGACATTTTCATTTTCATCTCTGGAAAAAAGTCAACGAAATTAACTCTGATGCAGATGAATGAGCAAAGCTATTTCAGGGCGAGACCACCCTGACTGTAAATCAAAACGTGATTGGTTGTAGCGAGAACATGATGCGATTGGTCAGCGCAATGTGGCTGTTATCTGATTTGCTTGAGTAGATGATGGGTAGAGTCCTATCTGTGGATTTGTGTGCACGTCTTGACGATAGAAATGTTTTGAAATCCACAAATACGTGCGCTGATCTACAAATGAAAAAGAAGCGATCCACACATACACAGCAAGCGATTCACAAATGAATGTTAGGCAGAGTTGTTTTTGTGACAAATGTGTGACACATTTGTGAATATGCTTTTTATTGGCAAATCTCATTTGATTTGTTTGTGAATTAAATACATTTTTGTGAAACTACTAATATATAATCGTGGATCTCACTCTATTAATTTGTGACCGTTTAATTTTTGTGAATCTCTTTACATTTATTTGTGGATCATATAATCTATTTATTTGAAATAAAGAAAGAATTCTACACCCATTCTCCATCATCAACTCATCATGTCAATCCAGGTCACATTTCCATCCATAACTAAAATGTTAAAAATGCATCAACTTTTATTGCAAAATAAAGTTTTTTGAACTAAAGTGTCACTTTAGTATGACGAGAGAACGGTAAAGTGTGACCACAGGGATAAGACACAGTTTTTAGTATTAGAGTATGAGTATTTCACTAAAATGAAAACCAGTAAATGTCCAGACTGAAATCTGGTCTGCCTGACCTGGTCAAGCCGGAGAGCTCCACACTCAAAGCGCTGGGCTCGGAGTTGTTGGGCAATGTTGTGCAAGTTGAGGACGGCTTCTTGTATCTCGTGGATGCTGTGGTCTGGGGAGCAGTTTGGCAGTTCTTCAGCACTAAAGTGCTTGTCAGGAGCTTCAATCATACTCTGAGCATGATCATAACTCAGCTTAATGCAGGAACAGATGACAGTTCGCCCAAACCACTCACTCAGGATCTACAGAGCACAGAGAAAACAGTACTATAGATAAAAGAAACATACTCATAAAAGTAATTATTCTGAGACAGGGCTTTCTCGGGCCCTGTGACAACAGAGGGCCCTCTAAGAAAAGAGAGGTAACACCCACAAAAAGGTTCGTGTTTTGAGATTTGTTCTCAATGAGAGTATAAGAGGTCATAAAGTAGTACCTTTCCCTCTGGAGAAAGCTTCCAAATGACAGAGAATGTCAGTCTATCGGTCAGAGGATTCAAGCTGCATAGCTCCTCACACAGAAGACGAGGCAACATGGGGATCACCTGCAGAAAAAAAAAAGCTCAGTTCAGTTCAAGTCAGATCAATAATACTGGTGAATAATAAGTGTCCCCAACATTTAATTTAACAACAATATTTTTTAACTATTGGAGTAATTAAGCTACAACTTATTATTATTAAAGGGATAGTACACCCAAAAATGAAATTCTGTCACCATTTACTCATCCTCATAAATCGAGCGATTTAATCCAAGTCTTCAGAAGAGACACGATCGCTTTCATATGATAAACAGATTTATGTATAAACATTGATAAACACATACATACAGCTGATTAAATATGGCAAAAAAGATCAACCATATTTGCTTGAGAAAATATCAATGTTTATATATTTGGCATAAAAGCAAAAATTCTTTCGACAATCAAATGAATTTCTTTATAATTTAATAATTTTAAATCAAATGTTTCTTAGGAATGGGGTGCTTGGATGATTTGAACATATAAATAACCTAGTCTAACTGCATCACATTTTGTTATATACTTTTATGTACTTGTGTTGAAATATATAAAAAATATCTTTTGATTTAAGACAGAACTATTTAGGTCAGATCATCATTCCCTCCCTAAATACTTAAAATGTTGAGACTAAATGGTATACCACCATTGTGAATTTTACATATTAGTCATATTATTATAACATTATATTGCATGCCATTATGCCAGTAGGTGGTGGCCAGAGATTGTTGAAATGTATTTGAACACTGAGTTAAGGATTTATTGTTTGAAATTAATGAATGAAGATTTGTTTCATCCAGTGTTTTTGAATGAAAACACTGGATGAAACAAATTTTCATTCATTAATTTCAAACGATTTTTTTCTTTACATAACGAATTCATTTAAATAAATAAATGTTTATATAGACTCATTTATAACATTTTAGACATTTCTAAATAGACTGATTATAACATTAAATAGAACATTTTGTCATAACCTCAAATAACTTACCGGTACATGTTGTTTTGCTTAGTTGTTTAATGTTTTGTTTTCAGAATTGTGGGAGACCGATTTGTATTTAAAAAACAAAACAAAAAACATTATCCAGAATCATAAATCAAGCTTAAAATAATATATAATATAACGTATCTGGCATCGAACTTATAGGCTACCATTAGCACTGTTTCTAATATTAAAATGTTTAATCTTGCAGAGTAGGATGAAGCCTTTATGTACATTAACAAGGAACATTTTAATGCATTATAATGCAGGATTCTGAAATGTTTTCTTATTTTAAAAACGCTTCGCATCCAGTGTGCAAAGTTGTGCAAACCACTTTAGGTATAGGCTATGCTCCTCTGCAGGCCTCCTTTCTTTTGGTCCATGATATTAGGCTGTGTTGTTTTTAGATTAATTGTTCTGAGAGGTTTGACCTGTAATGTCTGAACAATGTGATGCAGTTAGACTAGCTTATTTATATACAAATCATCCAAGCGCCCCATTCCGAGCCATTTCTAAGATACATTTGATAAATAATATAAAATGTTTAATTGTAAATATATTAAAGATCTGTTTTTGATTGTCGAAACAATTCCAGGTGCAGTCCACTCTCAGCCAATAAGATTCCATGTAGCATTTTCATTGGTCAGTCGGAAATTGCCCTAAGCTTCATTTTCGGTGTGGAATCACCTTTGTGAACTTCTAATATTTAACTTGTCTGAAGAATTATTGCAGCTATTATCTCATTCAGGAATCCCTTTATTTTGTAAACAAAGCAAGCTCAAAATAGTCTACAATAAATCAAAGTGTAGCCATCATCAGTAGACTGGGGGGAAAATGATGTGCTCCCGGAGATGAGGCAGCCGCAGCAGAGCAATGAGGTTGCAAAACACAAGGTGGAATGTGTTTACATACACTATATTGCCAAACGTTTTGGGACGTCTGCCTTTACATGCACATGAACTTTAATGACATCCCATTCTTAATCCGTAGGGTTTAATATGGAGTTGGCCCACCCTTTACAGCTATAACAGCTTCAACTCTTCTGGGAAGGCTTTCCACAAGGTTTAGGAGTGTGTTTATGGGAATTTTTGACCATTCTTCTAGAAGCGCATTTGTGAGGTCAGGCACTGATGTTGGACGAGAAGGCCTGGCTCGCTGTCTCCACCCCTAATTCATCCCAAAGCTGTTCTATTGGGTTGAGATCAGGGCTCTGACCAGGCCAGTCAAGTTCCTCCACACCAAACTCGCTCATCCATGCCTTTATGGACCTTGCTTTGCGTATTAATGTTGGAACAGGAACGGGCCATCCCCAAACTGTTCCCACCAGGGTGGGAGCATGAAATTGTCCAAAATGTCTTGGTATGCTGAAGCATTAAGAGTTCCTTTCACTGGAACTAAGGGGCCAAGCTTAACCCATGAAAACAACCCCACACCATAATCCCCCCTCCACCAAACTTTACACTTGGCACAATGCAGTCAGGCAAGTATCCGTTCTCCTGGCAACCGCCAAACCCAGACTCGTCCATCGGATTGCCAGACAGAGAAGCGTGATTTGTCACTCCAGAGAACACGTCTCCACTGCTCTATAGAGTCCAGTGGCGGCATGCTTTACACCACGGTATCCAATGTTTTGCACTGCACTTGGTGATGTAAGGCTTGGATGCAGCTGCTCGGCCATGTAAGCCCATTCCATGAAGCTCTCTACGCACTGTTCTTGAGCTAATCTGAAGGCCACACAAAGTTTGGATGTCTGTAGCTATTGACTCTGCAGAAAGTTGGCAACTTCTGCGCACTGTGAGCCTCAGCATGCGCTGACCTCGCTCTGTGATTTTACGTGGCCTACCACTTCATGGCTGAGTTGCTGTTGTTCCAAATTGCTTCAACTTTGTTATAATACCACTAACTGTTGACCGTGGAATATTTAGTAGTGAGGAAATTTCACGAATAGACTTACTGCACAGGTGGAAACCTATCACGGTACCACGCTTGAGTTCACTGAGCTCCTGAGAGCGACCCATTCTTTCACAAATGTTTGTAGAAGCAATCTGCATGCCTAGGTTCTTGATTTTATACAACTGTGGCCATGGAAGTGATTGGAACACCTGAATTCAATGATTTGAAGCGGTATCCCATACTTTTGGCAATATAGTGTATCAAGAAGCAGAAAGAATGAACCCAATTATGAACCAACATTTATATGCAGAGACAAAAATGTAATCGAACATTGAGAACAATATGTCAAGCAGACAGTTCAAAAACGTGGAAGTGCTGTGGCCTAGTGGTAAAAGGTTGTGGATTTGAGCCCCGCAAGATGAATCATCACTGAATTCCTGAGCAAGAAGTAGCCTCAGAGGTTGTTAACTCTATGACGCTTTGACTAAATGCATCTGAGCAAATCTCACGAAACCTATCTGTGCATCTGCATGGATGTTTCTCCCCAAATTCAAACAAATAAAATTATAAAATTGATTAATAAAATTGACAGGCACTAACAACCCTAGATAAAGTAGGACAAAAGGTTTAAAAAATAAATGGATGAATGAATAAAATCAGTCTATTCTCATAGCAAGTTTTTATACATCATAGCACTAACCGTATTAATATTTTGTTATATGTTTTGTATTATGTTGTGTCGTGGTGGTGACTGGACACATCATAGCTCTCGTACTTCAAATTACAGATCATCTTTCAACTACAGAGCAATTTAAGGTCCATGTCCAAAAAATGTCACTCCATCAAATATTTAAATGCTGGTGCCTACAGCAATGTTTAATTCAGTGATATCTAAAATTACTAGGCCTGTGAATTTTTGGGTAGACAGCAAATCGATTTACAATTCATAGGTTTTTGATTAGATTGAAGAAATTTTTTTGTGTGTGCAAATAATGAGATTCTATGTGATTCTATTAACGATTCGATTCTGCATTTTTTAAGTGCATTCATAGGATTATTTAAATTATTTCCCTAATGTGTCTTATTTAGGGTGCAAACTGCACCCTGACTTTCATGGGGTCAGAGAGCAGGGGCAAAAAAAGCTTTTGTCCACTGTTAAGGCCCTTTCACACTGAGCGGGAAGCAATAAATCTAAGCGAATCGCCAAAAAACGTATATCTTTCACACTGAACGCAAACCAATTGGTTGGCTTCAGCTAATTCACACCTGCACGATAGGTGGGCGCTGACCGAGAAAACATTTTTCCTCATGTATGCATTTCGTAGGTTTTCCCATTTGGCTTTAACCTCGTTCGCCTGTGAGGGAGAGCTGTGAGGGTCTGAACAATGCCACACAACGTCTCCATTCATTTGTGCATGTAATAATTTAAGACTTACACATTTTAAAGCATTGAATCGCTATCGAAATTATTCTTTCATTCTTAGCATTTTAAATCGAATCGAGTGAATCGTTACACCCCTAAAAATTAAACAATTTTCTGCACCGCAACATTGCTGCAAGAAATTTAAAACACTTCAAATTGTTTGGAGAATCAAACTCGTACCTTTTGGACAAGATAAACACTCGTGGCTCTTTGGCCAGCGATTTGATCCAAGGCATTTCCTTCCTCCACAAAGTAACTCACATCAGCTATATGAACACCAACTTCAAAATTACCTACATGAGGAGAGAAAAGAAAACCATGTTTTTAAATCATAAATAGTTTTTTTTTTTTTTGTGTAATGAACTTTTTAAAAGAGCTTTAATATCAAAGGCAGCCCACATACCATCTGAGAGTTGTTTGCAGGACAGTGCATCATCCAGATCTCTGGCTGTAGCTGGGTCGATGGTAAATATGCATTCGTTTCTTAAAAATAAATTACAGTTAAACCGAAAATCAGAACCAAATAATCAAACATTTAATTAAAATTAGATTTCAGATGGACTTTACATACAAATAATGGATAAGTGAAAAATGTATAGATCAGGGACAGGGTAGTAGGTTACCTGAGATCTCTTCTTTTAGAGAGCGCATGATCAGGGATGCTCCAGGGCAGATCTTGGGGAAGACAATTCAAGACCTCCTTGGAAAACTCTGAGAAGTCCACATCATATTCAGTCAGGATGCCTTCTGTTTCCGGCTCTATTTCACCTGCTTGCCCTAAAGTTTTTGCAAGCCGCCTTAAAACAGAAAAACAACATTGAGAAACGCTCTTATTAATCACAACTGCCAATGTAAATCTCATAATTTGGAGGAAATACAGGTTACCCAGATCTCACCCTTCAGCAAAGCTGTTGTCTGCTGACCACTGTGTTATTCGGCAGATGAAGAGTGTGTTTTCATAGTCTCCAGGTCTGGAGATAAAGTCTGCAGGACAATCTGCGAGAGGCACATTAACTCTCGGGACCCGATGGTCCACAGGAGAGAACATAGCAAAATTCTTGTTGGGAAGAAATTTGAGGAAGCCTGATGCTGCTCTTGAGTGCTTCTTCTCAACAATGAATACAACCTAAAATGACAACATCCATGGACAATTATAAGCAAAAGAATAAAAAAAAGGCATGCTAATTTTGGACGATCTTCAAACTTAGAAGTATTATCGACAACATGAAGTTAAAAAAAAAACATCAGCCCATTTACTTTCTTAAAGGGATCCTTGATTATGATTTAACTTTTTCAACTTTAGTTAGTGTGTAATGTTGTTGTTTGAGCATAAACAACATCTGCAAAGATACGATGCTCAAAGTTCAATGGAAAGGGAGATATTTTATTTGACAGAAATTGCTTTTTAAGGACTAAACCAACCTCTGGTATGGACTACAACGAGCTTCTTCCAGAGTTGGAGACATCACAATCCCTAAAATTTAACCCCAGCCCCTGGGAACAAGCAACAAAGTGAGGCCATGTTGGGATGCTTTAGAGAAGAGGAAGAGTTGTTGTCGCAGTTTGACATAAGGCTGACGAATTTATAGAGGTTAAAATTTATTTTTAACACTGTTCCTGAATATTATAATCTCAACGTTTGTCTGTGCCCTACACATTTAACGGAGAACAGCTTCCAGAAGTGAGTACAATGCAGGCTATGCGCAATGAAATCCATGTTTGCAAAGTCCGGGCTTGAAATCGGTCAGCACGATCCTCTTGTTCGTTAACATTTTCAGGGTCTGAATTGGGGTCGAATTGGTTTGAAATTGACGCCATCGTTAATATTTACATCTGAGTAGAGCTTGCGGTTACGAAGGGGTGTGACATTTCCCGAACACGCGCAAAGCGCTGCCAATCAAAGCACATTTCGGAAGGAGGGGCTTCATCAAAAATTACACGTTCAACCAGACTGGGGAGAGAGGAGCTGTAATAATGTAAAAAATAATGCGTTTTCAAGTATGAAAACATATTCTAGTACACCACAAAAACAAAATCAAGACTTAGTAAAAGGAGATAATAGGACCCCTTTAATAAATGTTCCTGATGTTTTTGTGCATTATTCATCAGTGATGCACATTATTCCAAAAAGGAAAAAAAGACAAAGTGCAACATTGTTTTAATCTATTTCAAAAGCCAACTTTTTAAATGAAAATACTTGTCTTCTTAGAAAATTGTCTGAATTTCTAAATCGTCTGAATGCATTTGTATTTATAACTATCATGAATAATAATTATTTAAAAGTAAAATGCATATCCTTTCAAACAAATGGCTTACCTTTCCAGTCCTTTGCATAGCTCTCTCTGAACTTGATCCAGAAGTGAAGCATGCATTAGCATGTTTGACAGAATGTGTTGTGATAGGGGCTAAATCAGAAAAAAAGTTATAGCAAGATAAATTTGATTGCAAATTTCTCTTTTATTTTCTGACACTTGTATGTGTAATCAATGTAATTTGTAGATTTTTTTTCAATAAAATGGAAAAGTTCTCTACAGATTCCGATTTGTTTTTTTTAATAATTAAAAAAAAATGTTTAAACCTGTCAAAGACATTAAGGTAATAGACATAGACAGTTTTATAGAAACAATATACTGTATATAATTATTAAACACTTTGGGGAGATTAAACAGTGACTCCCTCATCTTAACTAAGTTTAGATTCTCCAGCCTAACCTCTCTACATTGGCCTTAGCAAGAACTGCACTTTACTGTCTAAGTCACATCAGCTAACCAGCAGTTTGCCTCAGGGTTCAGTGTTTGGTCCCCTCTTAATATTCACAACAGCATTAGGACAAATCATTCTGGAACAAAGTTTTCCTACTATTACTATGCCAATGACATGGAGCTCTGCCTGCTAACAACTACAAAGTGACTGAACAAATCTCAGTTTGACTTTTGCGTCTGGAGTCTGGATGACAGAATCCATCTTCAAGTAAACAAAGCCAAGCTTATTGTTACCCCAAGCCAGTACAGCAAATCAATATTTTAGGTGTCTACCAGTGGTTGTATGTATCAGGTTAAAGGAATAATTTGTTTGCATCATTCCTCATGTGCTAAATCAATTAATTAATTTATTACATTTAAAGCCTTGGAAAGATTATGCAAAATTTAAAAACTCAATCAATTGTAAGCAAAATTCAATTGTTCCACAGCAACACAAGGGTAATTTAAGGACTTAACAATGAGTCATGAAGATCTTGGTTTTTGGAAAGAGGTGAATAGCTCATTCATACTGCAAACACAATCATGTCTTTCATTGCCCGTTCACCTCAGTCACCACATGCCCTGTATCAAACTTGACACTCTGGAATCTGTTGCCATGTTTTGAGCTACAGATGCTTAATGATTTAATATGTAGACGTCTTGGGGAGGCATGTGCAAACAAAGATATCTGGGCTTGATAAAGATAAAAAAAGATCACAGCTCTTGGCTGTTCAATCCTCAATGAGTGACTCAACTTTTTTTCTGCACTATAAAAAAAGCACATGTATCAAGATATATATATATATATATATATATATATTAAAGATTCCCTGCATCGGAGAATCCTTTACATTTATAAAAGAAGCAATTCCTGGGGCAATGCACATAAACTGTGGTGGTGTGAGATGCATTAACAACTAAAAGAAAATTGGCACAGGACTGACCAAACCAATTAAATGCTAACAAGGTAAATTTTGATTATCTAGCTACAAATTTGTCAAAAGTTCCCATTACAAAATGTAACAATAATTTTTTTAAGTAAATAATAAATTATTTATTCATTTAAACTTAAATTATGGTGAAGACTTAAGCTTAGTGTAAATAGCTTAGAGTAAAAATAATAAATACAACTAAATTAGTGCTTATCAGCAAAACCTTGAGTAAGAGGCGAACAGAACATTGTGCCTGCAGGAAAAGCTCATTACCTTTATCATGGAGATTGGCATTCTTCATTTTACTGATCACCTCATCTTCTTCATTGTAATGGGCCTCCACTATGACATCAGGAGCCTTTGGTGCATTCTGACTGGATAGAGTTCTCTCATTTATATCTCCATTGACTGCCTGCGTACACAATGTGACACACATTATGCATTGGCATGCATGATATTAGACTGTCATTGTCTCTCACTATTCATTTTGATTATACTCAATTACATACTATACACAACTACAAGTAATACATTCAACATGCATTCATATACATCTATTTTAATACAACAAGTTTTATACTACTTGCTTTTATTTGACACAGTAATGAAGTACTGTATGTCTTAATAATATGAAAACATGACTGATCGATAGGCTCGATTGTGCACTCTTTTCCACATTTTGTAGTACTAATTGTGGGGGGAAATTTGTGTAATGTTGCTTCTTGGACTTAAATATGCAAAAAAAATTGAAATGGAGATGAGAAAACTACACTACTGGAAGCAGAAAACATTAGCTCATTTACTAAAATAATTAACAAACACAAAAAGGGCAGGGGATCTACAGAATTGAATTACTTTGCGGAAATCTGTGGAGGATTTCTGCAAGCTCAGATTTCATGCATGTATGATTGTCAACTTCAAAAGAGGAAAATGAGGGACATTCTAGCAGAGGTCTTCAACCTTGCTCCTGGGAACCCACTGTCCTGCAAATTTTATTTCCAACCTTCTTCAGCAAACCTGCCAGTCATTTCAAGCCATCCCCAAGAGGTTGAATAGCTGGTTCAGGTGTGTGTTCAATTAAGGTTGGGTCCCCAGGAGCAGGGTTTAAGACCTCTGCTGTAGACGAAAGTAAAGGGCATTATAAGAGATATGTGGACCACATATGTCAGTGTTTATGTACGATATAGATATGTACCTCATGTTTATAAATAAAAGTCTCTGCTTGAATGAAATGCAATTAGTAGCAGCTACCCAAGTTGACCCTCCCTCTGCTGAAAATTTGAAATAAGTTTTCTGGGTGTGAAAGGCTAACATACTGAAAAACCTGTGCTCCTTATGGCTTTAATAACTCAACTTTGACCCTTTACATTTTGGACGTTAAATATCAGCCATTATGAGGATCTAAGATTTTGTTTTAATTCCTCTGTTGGCACTTTGAAAGACCAGTCAGGCAGACTCTTGGTTTTGATCCCTTCTCTTATTTGGATTTCAGATGATAGTGATAACCTTACATGACTCTGCAAATCTAAGAAGAAATATGTGCCTTTAGGGTGTAATAGCTACATTTTCATCGTGTTTAATTGCTTTCCTATGCTGCTGATTATTTACAAAGCTGATTATTTTCATCTTGACAAAAATTGCCTAGCAGCAGTTTAGATTTCCTGACACACAACTGCCCACACATGCACACATCTACCCTCATTAAAGCTTTAGCTTTGTTGCCAATTCTGATATACAGAATGTTTATATAGCTAAAGAATTCAAAAAGCAAACATCTATTTGCTCTGCTGTACTAAAAATAACAAGTCATAGAGCATAGACATAAATAATAAGCATACAGAAGTTGGCATGCAGCATGACATGCATTATGCCACCTAATAGCTTTTTAAAAAGTCTTTGCTACATCTTTTATGTTTATCATGCATGCAGCTTATTGAACCTCTAATTAACTGAGATATTTTTAATATTCTAGTACGTAATATGTCCTCTAAAACTTTAAGTATACTGTTCTGACCCTAAACTAATGCTTAGTTGAAGAACCTTTGATTTTATTGCAGCACTCAGTCTGTTTGTACAGGAGTCTATCAGCTTGGCACATCTTGACCTATGAGTATTTTCCCACTCTCCTTGGCAAACATTTTCCAGATCTGATGTGTTGTTTTTGCGCCAAACATACCTTTTACAATATTGGCTAAAATATTCAGTCTTGTTCTTGATAATGTCACTGTTGTGCCATACTTTCTCTTCTCTTGTCAATGACTGTCTTCACTGTGTTCCATAGTATATCTAATGCCTTGGAAATGTTCTATAGCCCTCACAATAGCTATCAACAATGAGATCCCATTGATGCTCCGCAAGCTATTTTTGACCCATGGCTCATGTAGTAGAATGCAACCATGAAGATGTCAGAATTTTTTTTCCAAGAACAGCTGAGATTTATTTGGAATTTATCAGAGTCACCTCAGGTGAAAACAGGTGTGTACTATTTCAAGAGCTTGATGATTTGTTAATTCTGAACACATCTACATATCCTGTTATAAAAGGGTGTGCACACTCATGCAGTAAGGTTATTTTAAGTTTTTATTTTTCTCTTTTTTTTTCTGAAATATGTCACTTTGGTTTTCTGTGGCATTGCATGGGTTGTAATGTTTAGATTAAAAGTGCAAAAGTATATCCACTGTATACACACACATACTGTGTGTGTGTGTGTGTGTTAGCTAACATAATTTCACTAATCATATCATCAGCACATGAGAAAATGTAAACAAGTACTGGGTGAAATCACTCTATCATTCCGATTGGATTATAAAAAAAACAGAATGCTATAAAAAGGACGGAAGAGGTTCTTCCAATCATTGTGTTCAAGTGGTAGCAATGGTTACGTCCAGAGAAAGACGTGGAAAGACATTTACAGGATCCTCAATAACTTCAAGGACAGAGGTTCAACTGCAGTGAAGAAGGCTTCAGAACGCCCCAGAGTGTTCAGCCACTTCTCTCCAAGAAAAAGATCAAGAACAGACTGAAATTCGGCAGGAAGTACAAGGATTGGACAGCAGAAGACTGGTGCAAAGTTATTTTCTCTGATGAAGCACCCTTCCGACTTTTTGGGACATACGGAAAATCAATTGTCTGGAGAAGGAAAGGTGAACGCTATCATGAGTCCTGTGCTGTGCCAACAGCGAATCATCATGAGACCATCCATGTGTGGGCTCATGTGTGGGACCATCCTTTTCATCCAAGGGAGTGGGCTCTCTCACAATTCTGCCCCAAAACACTAACATGAATAAAGAATGGTATCAAAACTTCCTACAAGAGCAACTTGTCCCAACGATCCAGGAGCAATCCGGTGATGATCTGTGCATTTACAGCATGATTAGAGCACCATGTCACAAGGCAAGAGTGATAATGAAGTGGCTCGGAGAACATTGCATTGAAATTTTAGATCGGTGGTCAGGCAACTCCACGGATCTTAATCCCATAGAGAACTTGTGGTCAATCCTCAAAAGGTGAGAAGGACAAGCAATAGCCCACAAAGCTGATATCCAGCATGCCCAGAAGCTGATCCAGCATGCCAGAGCAAATTGGAGAGGTTATGAAGAAGAATGGCTTTGACTTTATTGACTTTGACTCTTTGAATATATTGAATGTTTTGGACAATAAACCCTTTAAAACTTATAAAAATGCTTATTGTTTTCAGTATACCATAGAAACACGCGAAAAAATAATCTACAAATACTAAAGCAGCAAACTTTCCAAAACACAAAATTTATCTCACTACCAATACACAGCTGTATTTATGATATGTACATTTTGATAAAGTACCTTCCACTGTTCAGGGGGTAGAACTTTCACCACAACAACATCTCCATTGAGAGCCCTGTTACGAGCTGCAATTCCATCCAGAAAGATATCGGCTAACCCATCCTGCAGAAAAAAATTCAACTTCACAATAGCAAAAGACTCACAAAAGAGAGTTACAAGTAATCAGAATTAGGACAATGACAAAGCAACAACTACAATAATATTTGGTCAGTTACTTTTGAATGAGAATCATGTTTATTCCAGCAACCATTTACGTTCGATAGCATGTTCAACTTCAGGTTATACTGTAAATGTAGTACGTGTAAAGGTGAAAGAAGAATACTCACAGGAGATGGGACAAAAGCTTCCTTGTACTTCTTAGGGTTTATCCTCAGTGCTCCCTTAAAGAGAATGACATTTAAATATTTTAAATATGATGACTGTTTAAATAGTTTTCCATTCTGAGATTTCACTCTATAAGAATACGTAAAAAGCCTGTGTACTTGTTATTTTAATATTAAATTATTTAAAAGACGTAAAACATGAAAGAAGCCCTCCAAATATTACAGTTGTCAACATTTGAAGTGGATCAAAAAAGTTCATCAAAGTTATCCTAAGACAAGAACGGGTATTGTTCAAAATTCATCTATAACTTTGATGAAAGGTTTTGATCCACTTCAAATGTTGACTACTGTATATTTTATACTATGATAATAAAACTGGCTGGGTAATGATAAGTAACTAAATATGCTTGAAAAATGAAAAAATATGAAAAAAGCATTTATTTGAAGCATTTATGAAGATATATTTAATCTGTTTATATTTAAAAACCATAAATATTTTTGATTTTTCAGGTTTTTACGTCACAACGACCCTTGTGCACTCGTGCACACGACGCAGAAGTATAAATTGGGCTTAAGCGTCAGGGACCCTGGCCTAAGATAACGCTGGAAGCTGTGCAATCCTGATCATCCAGGAAGTAAGAGGGGAGGGTTGAGTCTCGCTGTGACCGGACCACCCTCCAAAAAATCTTGAGTGTTCCTCCAAACAACCGGTTTAGTTCCGGCTGTTGGAGCAGATGTTGCAATTGCAAACTATGGGCACGTTCGAGTTCAGGCAGCCATGCAATTGACTGCCGTTATAGCGAACAAAATAAAAAATAAAATATCGACAAAAGAGCACTTTTCCTCTTCCAGACGCCATGAGCGTCAGCCCCCTGCCCAAATGCAGTGAACTGTCTCCCAAAATTATTCAGCCGTGGAAAGCCATCCACGGCGTGTCAACACGGTGACAGGAGACGGCCGTTCAATATGCTAAATTTGAAACAAAACCTCTAACAAAAACCAATCTTCTGGGCGTATTTGCGAGTGGAAAGATGCATACTTTAATATCCATATAGCCCCCCATCAAGGTTATTTCCTTTCAACAAGAGCTACTGGACGCGGGTAGCACCCCCTCCACGCTAAAAACTATGTGGCAGACATAGCACCATTCCATGCTCCTGTGGCCGGCCAATCGCTCTCTACTCCGATCAGAGCACAAGTAATTTCGCTTTCTGGACGAGCAACAACTACACGTGCTCTGCCCTGTCCGGGCCCTAAGAGTATATATATATAGAGCCCAGTTTAGGCAGTCGGAGCAGCTCTTCGTATGCTTCGGTGGCCACACCAAAGGGCTTCCGGTCACAAAGCAAAGACTGTCCCACTGGATAGTGGACTCCATTTCTTTGGCCTACGCTTCAGCGTCAGAGCACACTCCAGATTTGCCAGATTTTACAACTTGGAAGCCCCTGCACTGCAGGCACAAATCCTCTCTGTTTAGTTAGAGTTGACCTCTGAACGAGCTCGACCCACCATTACCTCTCTGGAGGCTCCGACCACAGTCCGAACCCCTTCTCATCGGGCGCAATTCTGCCCTCTCTTAGCCCTATTGCCCTTATCCAAGTGTCCTAGGCTAGGGCCGTAGAACATGACGTTCTGCTTGAACATAGCACGGTGTGATTGGACTGGTTCCCCATAGCATCTAGCGACGCAATGCAAGTGAACATTTCGAAAGGGAACGTCTCGGTTACTAATGTAACCTCGGTTCCCTGAGATAACGGGAACGAGTATTGCGTAGACAGACGTGCTATGACGCACACAACTTTGCATTCGTCGCTTCACTTTTCATGACAAAGTTTTTCCTCTGTACAGATGAAAATGTTATCAAAATGATTCCAGTTCACATGCATCAGTGGAAACGACTAAAATCGTTGGTATTATGCATGCCAGACAGGAAATTGGCAATGTCACTTTTTAAAAATAAACTACACGACCGCACACATACGCATTCAAACGCGCAATGCCTAAAGACTGATGATGTGCATGCCATCATCGTTTTCACAGATTCACGTTTTTTAAGTTTACACGGAGATGATAACGGTATCGCTTTCAGAACCCATTTTCAAAAACGTGCACTTTGAGACCTACTTCAAATTTTTGTCTTCTCAGGCCCCCAAAACTCTGTTGTCATGTAAATGAACAGCCAGAACGCATTAAAAGTTTTCTGCTTTCAGTTGAAAACGGTGTTGTGTAAGCGGCCCCTAAGTTAATAACTAATGATTTTTACAACGGAAATGAATCAATTAAAAATGTACAAATTTCCAATGACTTTCTTCTAGAGCTGCTGTACAGCCAAACCAATCTTTGTTGCATTCATTTCCTATTATCACTTTAAAGCGCTATATAAATGAAGGTGACTTGACTTGACTATAGGGCCTAAAAATAAAGAAAACCTATTGCTATACTCATTCATTTAAGAAAAATAGCAGGCGGCGGTATACAGTATGTGCATAATGCACAGTATTCAGTAAGTAGTAAAGGTTAGTTGACAAACAATAACTTTTTGGAAGATTAAAAATAGTTTTCCACCATTTTTTATTAACAACAAAATGTTGTTTCACAAATTAATTTTAAAAGTACAAATATTCTACATATGCTCTCAATTAAGGTTAGTAATTCAACACAATAAATCATATTATAATATACATGTTCATATTATAAAATTTATGTATAAAATAAAAACGCTTAAAAAAATTATATTTTAGATTAATACACAGACGTATAAAAGTTTGCATGTATTAAATTCACCTGAATGAGTTCTCCTCTCTTTAGGCCTGCAGACACATCCTCTGTGAACATGTACTCCTCGAACAGTAGCTTCCGGGAGCCTCTACAATCTTTAGCGTTTTTATCTTTGTCCTTTTGATGTAAACTTTCTTTTGGTGCTGTGAAAACAAAGATGAAATTGTAGCTCACGCACAAAAAAATGACTATGATGTTTATTTAGATTTGGAATGAAACTAAATCTGGTCATGTAGGTCACAGTTTTTTTAAGACACCATGGATTTTTTTTACTTGTTCCACATCTATTAGATTTGAAGACATGTGTTCATGTGTAGCTTCAAAAGATATCCTGTATCCTATTTATTAAACTTATCGTAAAATAGATATTTTTAACTTTACAGATATAGGATACGCATTAGAAAATGTGTCTTTTTCCGGGAAAATAGATAAAAAAATACTGATGAATAACACACAAGAGAAAGCAGAGGAAGAACAGTCTGTTTGTTAAATCTATGTTTTTCAAAAAATTTTAAAGCTACACATGAAGGCATACTTTTTACAACAAATGCAGAAAGACAAAGGCACCCTCACACACACTGACTGGGTAAAGCTACTCCACGATTTCCATCTCAAATTCAGTCTATTACAAAAGTTTATGATCACAGGCGCAGTGATCTTGCATGACAGAGAATCAGAGAGAAATGTCAAGACACAGCAGTTTTAATTTGACACTCCTCTTCCATTTTCATTGGTGAGTTTGACAGATCTTCAACAAAAGAGGGCCACAGCTGGGTATGATAGATCTGACCAAAAAAGTTTATAGTCAAGGTTTAATGGCGCCTTAAAGGCTTATTGGCCACCTTAATTATAATTAATTTTAACATTAACACTAAAGTCAAGTGATTTCAAGTGTCTTTAAAAGCCAAAAATGTAATTTCTGTTAATTACATTTTTGGCTTTTAAAGACACTTGAAATAAGTGTCTTTAAAAGCCAAAAATGTAATTTCTGTTATTTACTAACCCTCATGTTGCTCCAAACCTGTATACATTTCTTTTTTTCAACAGAACACAAAAGAAGACATTTTGGAAAATGTCGGTTTGGACAATGGTGACCACTGACTTCCATTGTATGGACAAAAAACCCCAAGACATTTCTCAGAATATCTCCTTTTATGTTTCATAGAAGGGAAAAAAAGAAGAACAGTTTTGGAACAACATGAAGGTGAGTAAATGACAGCATTTTCATTTTTGGATTAGCTATCCCTTTAATCCAAAAAAAAAAAGAAAAAAGATTCTTTGATTTTGGACAAACTATAAAGTCAACATGAAACGGCATTGGCACACTAAGTCAAATAAATTATTATGCATGTATGGCTTAAATAAGGCTTGGTTTTGAGAGACTGGCTCTTCACTTCACTAAATACCTTGAGGAGCTTTGACGTTTTTATTTGCTGATTTCCCAGCAACAATGGCATCAACTTCGGGACCACATGATGCCCCCATGTCTTTTTTCTCCAAATTTCTTTTTGATCTCCTCTTCTTTGATTTTTTCTTTGCTTTTTCCTCCCCACATGAACCGCTCAACTGTTGAGCGTCACATTCCTCAGATCCCACTAGACTTGTGCTCCCTTTGATGTCTTTTTCACTTCTCTCCAGTTGCTGTTTTGTGGGTACCTTTCTGGGTGCAGCAGCCTTATGTGACTCCGTTGTGGCATGCTTTTCCAGCATGCCAGGCTTCATGTCCTGGTCATCAGCGCACACTGTCTGATGGATTTTTTTGTCCGTGTGCAAATAGTTGGACGTGTCAGCCATCTGTCTACTCTGCTGAGAGCTATCACCAGAATAAGATGATTCCGAATTGCCTTTTTTTCTCCTGTTTACATCATTCACAGATCTGCTAACTGGTGTCCTCATGTTCTCCTCTGCCTGCTGCTTTGCAAACTCTTGCAAGTAAGAACGAAACTTGCCATTCTGATGCTGATTCAGAAGTCTGGCATACGCATCCTTCTGGGATCTGGGGAGGTTTTGTGCACCTCTGGGTTTAGTGGTTCTCTTTACTTTAGGAGAAGACGCCATAATCTCTGCAAAGAATTAACATGTCGGTGGTTACATCAGGTTAACAGAACAGCTTTTGTCTTTACATATCAATAATTACCTAATATAATCAACTCTTGACTTACTACGTCTTATATAAAAGAAATTAAAAAAATTAATGGCTGATGTGATGTTTCAGAAAATAAAAATGCATTTCTACAACTATGGGCACTTTTGGCCCTGTGGACATAATTTGGTGCAGACCCTTAAAACTTTTAATTATTGGAACCAACCAATTTTTCTTAATGATAACATGCTGTGATGCAACTGACATATAAATTAATTTAAGCAATATTCCATAAGCAAAAGTGGGTAACATTTTATTTTAGTGTCCTTCTTACAAATGTTACTATAGTAATAACTATAAATTATGCATAATTACATGCAACTAATCCTAAGCCAAACCAACAGTAAGTACATGTAGTTAATTAATATTATTCTGTACTTAAATGTATAACTACACTGTAATAAGGACACCTTAAAATAAAGTGTAATTGGTCTAAAATGGTGACAAACTGGAATCAAAGTGTTTGATAATGAAGGCCTTGAAGTTGGACAAAACAACTGTTTTTAAAGAACTGTTTATAGTTTGAAACTTAACTGCTGTATAAAATGTAAAAAATACATTCTTTTTTTTAATGAAATGGAACTCCAGTTTGCTACATTTTGCATCCTAAATTCACACAATTATATTATTTTATATTTTAATATTTTCTAAAAATTACAGCTTGAAAATGTGTTTGCATCTCATATTTCATCTCACTAATGCTCTTTACTGGCACTGAGTAAACAGGCTAAAAAAATCTTGAAAAACAAACAATGCAAAAAAAAAAAGATGTACATGTCAAAATGGACATAAATAACATTGTTTTTGTGATTTTCTTTAAATTTGTTATTTCACTATTTGTTTAGACCATCACAGCTTTAAAACGTAGATTAATAATTACAATTTACGATTTGAACTTTGGGCCTGCCTGGCATAATTGTATTAAAATCTGTACATAAAAGATACAGCTTTAAATAAAAATCAACCAAGGGACAAAAAATGAGTAGCATTGAAAATAGAAAATAGTATTTCTAATGTCTTGACAGAACGTTCTGCGTTGACCATAATTATGATATTATAATTTTAGTAACTTTCACGGGCTGTTTGCACATGCTTATAAGCCTGAATCATTTAATAGCAATGTCATTCACTTAAAAGCTTCCCTTGAAAAAAAAAAAAAAGATCTGTACTCTTAACTTATTGCGTTTAAAATAATACAATATTTTAGTTTAAAACGGTTTATTAAAGAAGGGATTTACTCATGTCACAGTGTGTGAGGCACACTGTTCCTTTACAACGAGCTAAGCTACTTGACCCTCATATACTGTCAGTATCTTTCAATAAAATATACTTGTGTCCCAATGGACAGCTACATAACTAAACATAAACATACATAAATAACAACTCACCGTCTATATCTGCTGCTCTGTCTATATCGGTTGCAAAATTTCACTGAACAGCTCCGAACAACAACACCAACTGCGCATCTCTTCCGGGTCCTATAAATAAAGCGCTGTCGTTGCATCATGGGAACTGTAGTTTTGTTGCGCACACAGGCTCGAAGTGTCCAATTTAGTCGTAAATCAGAACCATTATGTGTGAAAAGTGAATGAATACTGATGCAAAAATAATCTAACTAGTTTTTATGTAAGTAATTTTGTAAAACAAGTAACCTAATAGTTTTATTTTAATTCAATACAACTTAAATAAATAAAAAATATGTGAAAAGTTAGCTTTAGAAAACAAGTTCAATATAAGATGAAAAACATGAAATCCCTCACACTTCTAAAACTTCCTCCGGCTTATACGGGTCAAGTGACCGAAACATCGCCAATAAATATTTATTGTGACGGTGCAAGTTTGAGTGAGTGTGGGATTTATATTTTTTCTAATCTACATTAACCCTAAACAACGTTGTTATTAGTATTATCATTTATGGGTCTGTTTGCTTGTATAATTCGATGAGAAATTTTCAAAACAAAAAACAAAACAAACAAAAAACATTTAAGTTAAAGATAGGAGCTAATAAAACATTAAAAGGAAATGACACTATTATTTAAATCACCATGACATCATAGCTGGATTATAAAACACAGCATAGGCGTAATTCTATGGGGGGACAGGGGGACACGTCCCCCCCAATATTCAACGAAGGGCAATTTGTCCCCCCCAATATTTGATCATATTTGGGGCGCGTTTCCATTACAGATTTGCGCAAAACTTTTGCGATATTTTCTAAATGTCGATAAAAAACTATTGCGAAATGACGGCGTTCCATTAACCGATGTAATGCGACTAAAACGTCTTTTTTTCCTCTCGCGATAAGTCATTCCAAAAATCATGGCAACGGACGTTGGAAGGTTTATAGCCTATATCACAGCCCCCGCATAGACATTATTATTATTAATGGAAGGAGACGTGGCGTGTTATCCAAGCGTTAATGGCAGGGAAAGACACGGAGTTCCTGGGTGTTTCTCCCTCATTTCTGCTCCGATGTCTTGATTGTGGCATTTCTTTGAGGTTTAGACACTGATCAATATAGAATGACTTTATTAATGTCATTATATAGATCAGTGGGTTTAGAGTCCAGTAGACTATTCCTGTAATTATTGTTTCTTTTATGAATTCAATAAAGAACTCTGTCTCGTATTATGTCCAAACGGTCAGTGTAGCCTACTTGCATTCATTTTTCTTATTTAACCCGTAATTGCAAAACGAAAAATGAACGGTTGTTGTATTTTTAAAACGCAAAGGTGAACACCAACATTTTAGTTTGACCTGTAGGCCTACACCAAATGCTGAAAAAAAAAAAAAAAATTATATATATATATATATATATATATATATATATATATATATATATATATATATATATATATATATATATATATATATATATATATATATATATGAGAGAGAGATAGACGAATTTTCAGATATTTGTTTATGACTTTTTGCCCCTTTATTAAACATTTAAAATATTCACAAATTAATATGGAGAAAAAAAATGTAGATTTTACTGGTTTTCTAAGGCCAAATTAGAACCTGGAAATTATATTTTTCCCGCAGTGCTCAATGAGAGGAGCCATAACCACAGCCTACAGAAAGGGGATGTATAGGTGAGTTAGGCAATAATAAATGTGTCTGAAAAAATAACGAGGCATTTTATTTGTTTATTAATAAACTATTGTTTTCCTAAATCAGTGTCGGCTAAAAACATATCTCCATCTCCGGATGCACCTTTAGAGAGAAATGCACCTTTCATACGGATTACATAATCAGAAGGTATTAGCTTTCGATTCGAATTTGTTCCTTTTAAAGTGGACATTTAAAGCTTCAGTCTACAAAGGCTATATAGCCTATCAGTTCTCGCGCTTCAGTTCACGGAGACCATGAACCGCGCCTGATTGTTTTATTTTATTTTTACAAAAGCACATCGTTTTCTTGTTATTGTGAGATTACGCAAATACAAGTAGTTGCGAATAATGTATTATTATATTCTGTATGACCAGAAATGATAGAGTATTTTAAGTTGTTTCGACTGTTGATAGGAAAATGCAAGTGCTCGCGGCCGCGCCTCCGTGCCATCCAGTGCGCGCTCCACACCCAGTCCGCAGACACACTTGGATATGCGTCAAAATCTTGTGTTTATTTGTGATAATCTTAGCCCTATTATTATTGTGCAACCTGTATTATGAATGAAATGTGACGAATTGCTTTGTTCCTTTTTTGGATAAAAGCGTCTTCTACATATAATAAATGTTATAATAATGATGATAATTATTATTATTATTTGCGGACAAGGACCCAAAACACACATCGTATTCTAAGTCAGGTGACTGTAAATGCGCAAAACCCGTTTCCATTGCAGTTTTGCGAAATATTCCTTTTTCAAATTGCCTGAAAAACCTTCTCATGCGAGCGTAAAAATTTTATTGGGATAAACGGGAGTTTTTGCGAAATGGAGTGTTTCCATTGTGCGCATTTTCATTACGCAATTTCAATTTGCGCAATTTGAAGGGGAATGGAAACATGGCTTGTATGATTATGCGGGCAGGGCCATATCGATGTGATTGCAAATAGCCTACGTCTTTCTTCCCAGCTCCGAAAATATAAAATCCCAGCCGGTCCATTTCCCAAATCCATTCGACTTGTCTTACACTATACATTTAGCAAAACCTATTTCTCCTGAAATCCATATCATGTTTTCCGATCCCTTTAGTAGCTTGTGCATCGTCAGTGAGTTAGGAAAAACCAAACAGAAGAAGAGTTAGGAGGAGCGCGGAAATTGACAGACATTTGGCACATAGGCTATCTATGAATGGTAAATATTCTGTTATCCTGTAACAGTAATTTAATCAAAATGTTTATAGCCACTATATGTTTATAGAAGAATATAAGATAGAGAGATCACTGACCGCTTTGTTGTCAATTCAGGCCTGTAATTGATGCCGATGCTGTAATCATTGTTGACTAGACGTTGGTTTGACGATCATGTAATACAATTCCTTGTGGTGTTATACAATTACAAACATTCGGACTCTGACTTTTATTTTATTTTGATTAAAAAAATGTGTGCATGCGCCAACACAAAAAGTTCCACAGCTGTCCCCCCCAATGTGTGATTGACAATTTCGCCCTTGAAACACAGTGTGATCCGGACCGTTTGCATTACTGCGATTTGTCGCTGGGATGGATATGATTTATACACTCATCTGCGGACTGTTCATGGTCAGTCTGTCACTTTACGCAAAACCACTCACCACAGTCCAGAACAAGGTTTGTGGATTTTTATGCACGTTATGTTGGTAAAGAAAGTTGCTGCAAAATGTTGTTATTTTCCTTCTTTGTAGCCTATATACATTTCCTTTTTTCTTTTTCTTTTTTGTTCTTTTTTATTTATTGCATAGGATGACAGCACAGGTTACATAACGAATACCAG